AAACCTGGCATAATGATCTAGCAGACGATTCTTCGCCAGGTGACCCCGTGTTGTCCAGATGGTCATAAAATGAAGAGGGTTCTCTGGGTTGCAGGAGGCAAAATACTTCTCTTCAATCATCCTTTCGAAAGCGGGCAGACTACCGGCCGCAGGAAGAGGATTTTCCTTGGCCACGATCTTCAATGCAGGGTTTGTAAAGTCTAGATGAAACGAGCTGCGGCGCACGAAGTTACCTAGCTCGCTGCGCACGACGGCGAACAGTGCCTCAGATGGATTGCCGTGCGTGGCCGGCCCGGTCTTCATCTCTGGTTGTAGGTCAAAATCATTCACGTTGAGAGGAATCTTACAGTCCCAGGTGGGAAGCAGATTCGTGGCCTTGTGGTCAGCCATCTCGCAAATCCGATTGTCAAACAGGACGAGCGACCACCACAGTCTGCGGCGCATTTCACCTTCTAGAACAGTACATCTGCTATAGCTGGGCTCGGAATGGATACCCATGCGTAGTGCGATACGGATGGCGACGCTCAGGATTGGCGACAGGGAGCGAGGATCTGTTTCATGTCTAACCGAGATCTGGGAGCGTCAGTGGTTTGCCTCGTTCAGTGTCGATGTGCTTACCAGGTAAAGGTACAAGGCCGTCAAGCAGTCACGGTCACTGGTACGTAGCACCTCGCAGTTCAGGAGGGCTTGCTGACAGGCAAATTGGTAGCCTTTCAGGAGATCGTCCCTTGACGATCCAAACAGGGTCCGGCACTCGTCTTCTGACAGACTGAGAATGGCGAGGCAATAGATACTGAACATGAGCGCTTCCAAAGTCGGTGTTATATTACCCACGTCCGCAGCCGCATCAATGATCCGTGCTTGCAAAGTAGGAGTATGTGTGACCTTGAGCAGCGGATTGACATTGTCCAGATATATCTGCCAGAGTCGGAAGATCTCGACCTGATTTGGGTGCAACGTTGACACTTTAACATCAAACTTGCGTGCACCAAACAGAAGGGTCTGACTGCCACCATCGTAATGCTCTTCCCAAGCCTTTCTGAAGACGGCCTCACGGGCACCGAAGCGAGATTTATCATGCTCGTTACTCTTGTCGCTCTCATTAGTATCATCCTCTTCGGGATCAACAGACTATCATCTACGTCAGTGCTGCTTTCGGGATCAGATCCAGGGTATTCGCACCATTTGATTCATAACCCGCCAGAAGTTCCTATAGGAAGTTAGCCACAGACAATGAAGACTACGATGGAAAGCTGACTTGGCCTCATATTTTGTCTCTGATCCCGGGGTCTCCTCTTTCTGTGAATCTCGCTCCAATTTCTCATTGTTATCTGTATCAAAATACCTATATTCTCTGCTGGAAGAGGCCGGTCCCACACCAGAGTTGTGCAAGGGCTGAAATTGTATATTATTCTGGCGCAGAAGATCTTCGTATCTCTGGACGCGTTCCAGCAACTCCCTCTCAGGAAACCTCCGCCGTCGCCGGACTTCTGTTGCAGGCACACACTGCACTTGAGCTCGCATACAATTGGCACAGGGAAATCTTCGGTCACATCTGACCTTGCGCTGTTGACACAGGACGCAGGCCAGCACCCGTGTAGGCCTGTTCGTCGCTCCCAAGGACGACCTCGGTGAGCTATGCTCTGGTGTGGACATTTCGAATAGAAGAATAATACGAGTGTCCACAGGCCTAGGACCTGCCAATGGAGATAAAGATGCCGATCTTCAAGCAGTGCGTAGATGGACAAGTTGGGATTTCCTCTTCATGCAAGGATGAAAGGTGAGTAGGACGTCGGGAGTTAGTAAAGCCCGAGGCCCGACGGTCTTTCTTTCACGTGATCCGGTGGTGTGCAATACACTATAAGCCGGTTATAAGAAGGAATTTGGCTGAAATTATGTTTATGAGAAGATGTTCTCTATTGACAATTTGATATTCAGTACTGTTAGATAAATCTTAGCACTTTTATCTGTGCTGTGCGTTGAGATACGCCGTAGGCAGACACTAGAGAATATATGTTGGGGACTGTCAACTATTCTTGAAAAGCCCTAAGTCCGACTCCATCAGATTCTAAGTCCAGGGGCAAACGAGAGAAAGAAGGGAAGAGAACACGAATATCAATACAAATTGCTGGTAGGAAAATACAGTAGGAAGGTCTATGAGCTGCGGTCTTCTTGCAATATACACGCTCAAGAAGCTAGCTACTAGGGCTTCACCTACAAGGGGTTCTTTAATGCTTGGAAATATTTTCCACCTCTAAGCAGAGCCGGTTCTGTTGGATAGGTTTCCCAAACACATGGTAGCCTATTATGTCTCTGAAGAAATCCCGTATGAAATGGTTTCTTGCTCTGTTATTCAATGCTTAATAACTGCCTAATTGACTATTCAAGCGTCGTAGATTTACAACCAAGCATCTCTTGGCTTAAAGGCGAGGATTCCGAGCGACCTTGGTATAATCCAGCGTCTCAATGGGCTCGGATCTCGCCCGATACTCAAAATCTGTTGCTAATTGACGGACTAGAAATTTCCAGGCAGCGCACCTCACATGGGATGCTGAGTGTGGGAACATTAATGAATACGAAAGGTTTCAATCTCTGTATAGGGTTAACTCCCAATCATTAGCTGCAGCATCTTACATACGTTAATTGGTTAAATAAAGCTTTTGCGCCCATATAATGTGCCTAGACTTGCTCGTATTTGATGTTTCTGTTCACTTAACTTCTTTCCATCGTTGGATAATCGTAGACAGTCACGTCCACATACATTTTCTCGAGTGGTTGTCGCTACTTGTCCTCGCTGCATTCCTAGGTGTTATGGCTTCCCGGGGGAATTCTGGGCTGCGTGAATCCCTTCAATGCACCGATTGAAATAACAATCTCATCTGAACAGAATGATTTGAAGCTCGCCTCCTTGTAGGTCTCAGGGTGTAGCAGAAATACCGGGACCCTTCAGCAGGCCAAAGGACAAGGAGCTCAGCTGGTAGGACATTTGGTTAGGCCGTCCACTCCATAATTACCAGATACAAGACGAATTTTGGTACTAGAACAATTAAAGAGAGGGGGCGCGACGGTCCTTTTATCTGACCAGTAAACAAACGATCTCCAGGAATTGGAATAGGTTAGCAGATACTCATAGCCGCCAGAGGGCTTGTACTGAGAAAGGTAAGGAATGGCAGCGCTATGGCAATATTGAATGGTTATTGAATCTGAACCAACCTGATTACTTGACGAGATGAGCACAGCCAACACTGACGTGTCGGGCTTTGCTGATATGTTGATTAAGTGCCAAAAGAGGCACTTATTGGAGGGGATGTACCATGGGCACCTCAGATGACGCTCATGTCGCTCATGTCTTCCAGAAGTCCTCTTGCCAGCAAAGGATGGGCGCCCATGCGCTTATTCCGCAGATCCACCGAGACTTGTTCGATAGTTGTTGGAGAATTGTTGGACGACCCCTGCGCCGCCGTTGCCCAGTTGCCCAGTTGCCCCGTTGCCCAGCTGGCACGTTGCCCCGCGCGCCGTCACATGACTCTTGCATTCCTCCTTGCTGTCTGGATTCAAAGGCACCACTTCCATCTGGTATGTTGCTTTGATGACAATCATGGCGGCCCATAGGCCTCACAACTTTCCCTTGGAGCTGATTCTGAGGGTTGCGGACTATTTAGGATCTTCGGATCTCATAAATTTGATTCTGGGCATTCCCCACCTGGGGCCCCTTCTCCACTCTCGGCATCTACAGGCCAAAGACGAGAATGGGCACAACCTCTTGTATCACATTGTGGAACATGGGCTTGAACACCTGATCGAACGCTTTGCACAATGGGTCCCGGAGAACTCCATCCCCAACTGCGAAGGACGGACGCCTCTCCATCAAGCGGTCAGGAAGGGTGATGAACGGATGGTAAAAGCACTGATTGATGCGAGTGCGGATATATCAGCCCAGGACAATAGCGCAAGAACCGCCCTGCATCTTGCCTGCGAGGCTGAACAAGCTGGGATTGTCCAGTTGCTCCTGGACCACGGTGCAGACCCGTCCGCGGCGGATTACAATGGACGAACACCCTTGCATGAGGCAGTTGGACGGGACACAATTATCCTCCAGAAGCTACTTAGAAGAGATGGTGTGGACCTTAATCCCCGAGAGATGCCAAGAGGGCTGACTCCCCTTTTTTATGAAGCTTGCCTTGGTCGAACAGACGCTTTCATGGCGCTTATTTGCTACGGAGCAGATGCAGACATTCGTTCAGTGGATGGGGAGACTGTACTGCAGCGCGCGACCCTCGGTAATCACGCTGATATTGTGCGACTGTTACTTGACCGTGGTGTTGATATCAATGCGCAAGATAACCACGGCTACAGCGCAGTATTGGTTGCTGCGATTGCCGGGGCAAATAAATGTCTGCGACTGCTCCTGAAGGCTGGGGCAGATATTTCAGTGGTGGATAATTATGGACGCAACGCATTGCATATAGCAGCTTGGAACGGACGTAAGTCCACAGTCCGGCTGCTTGTGAGAGAAGGAGTTGACCCCAAGGCACTGGACAACCGGGGCTCATGTGCGCTGTGCTGGGCAGTTAAAAGGAGGCAAGACGGAGTGATTCGAATTTTAAAACATGCCCAAAAGAACCCAGTTTCGAGGTTTATCGCTACGCTACCATCATTCTCCTGGCGAGGAAGGGGGAAGAAAAGCTGTGCACCGGTGTCCGGTTGTGCCGTTGCTCATCATCATCACCGTAGTGCTTGATTGAGCGTGCTAGTATATTCAGGGCTATCCAGGGTTGCTCAAGTTCGTATGTTCTATTTGAGCCGTGGCCTATACAGTGACAGGATTGATGTTGTAACATAGTCAAGATACGCAAAGATAGAGGACGAAAGAGACCTTATTCACTAAAATGTGTGCTGTACATACTCGAATTCTATTCATAGTTGACATTATAACCAAGGCACCAGCGACCAAAGGAATGGAGATTCTTAGAACATCTCGAGAAAGGCATTAGGCAGTACTACTGCTCGTCTTTGGGGGCATCGCCATTCTCAACACCAGGACTAGCCTCCGACTTCTTGAGTATACTCACCCACTCAAGCGAGGCATTCCCCAGAATGGCCAAACAAGCCACAATCAACCCGATCTGGAACACCTTCCGCAGCGCTTCATTATAAGCCGTCAATACCGTCCCCCGGAGATCCAGAGGAACCAAACTCAATAGCGATGTCGCACCGCCCGACGTAACAATATCCGAGTCAATTCCGGGGACCCCAGACAGCCTCATCATAAGCTGGTTAGCAAGCACGTTCTCGCCTACAGGGACAAACGCCGCAGCACCAAGCAACTGGCTGAAGAACATAACCGCAATTCCGACAGGCACATCTTTCCTTGGCAGGACGGTCTGCGCCGCGAGGTTGGGTTGCTGGAAGCACATCCCCATGCCGAAGCCATAGAGAATCTGATAGCCTATCCATTTGCCGTGGTCGGTGTGGATTTGCAGCGTCGTGAGGAGCCCGGCACCAATCGCCATAATGCAGGATCCGATGATTGCAAAGGGGGTGTAGTATCCGATTTTTTGGGTGGTGATGCCAGTGAGAACGGACGCGACGACCATTGAGAGCATCAGAGGAAGAAGTCTGAGACCCGAGTCCACGGCCGAGACGCCTTTGATGGACTGGAACCAGATTGGGAGGAAGTAGACTAGTCGATGTTAGTCTAGGTACACCTTGGGGTTCTGTTTCTTCCTACTGAATATGTACTGCGATGCACCTATACTGATGGTCGCCCAAACTCCGGCGAAGATGCTGCGCCGTCTGAAGATGCGCAGAGGAATAGTCGCCGTCCTTGTCAGAAGTATCTGAACAGCAACGAAACCAAGTAGCAAGACGCCCATGAGGGTCAGTAGCACAATGATGCGAGAATTATTCCACTGTTAATCTGTCAGTACACAGGTCAAACCTGCTCTTCTTTTGAAAAAAAAAGTTTCTCACATCATATTTCTGCCCACCCCACTGTAGTGCTAGCACCAGACAGACTACGCCAGGGACTAAGCAACACAATCCAAGGATATCAAGCTGCTTCAGCTTCTCCATCCATGAAACGTTGGTCGTGTTTCTGTCAGGCACCTTGAGACAAAATGGAATAGCAGCCATTGCCAGGCCACCAAACGGGAGATTGATATAAAAGCACCATCTCCACGTTACGTGCGAGGTAAATGCACCACCGACCAGCGGGCCTACAATCGAGGCCAGACCGAAGACGGCCCGAAAAGTCCTTGGATTTTGGGACGCTTCTCGAGAGGAACAGCATAGACAATGCATACAACCTAGGCTGTCAGCACTTGCACTGTAAAAGAAAAAGGCTACTCACCGATCCAGCAAAGATTCCTGCGGCAGCAACACCAGCGAGAGCTCGTCCAACGATAAAAGCCGTGGAGTTGGGCGCAGCTCCACAAACGACAGAGCCAACTTCGAACAGGAGGATGCTACCCAGCATAACTGCTTTCACGGGGTAGAAGGTGTAGATCTTTCCGAATAGCAATTGGAATGCACAGCAGGTCAGCAGATATGCGCTTCCGTACCAGCCGACGTCGGACAGAGAGTCGAATTCATTCGTTATTTGGGGGATTGCCTTGCTTTTAGTCAGCTTAATATCCTGTCCGTTATGTTTGTGGCTCGCTATACCGTCGAGATGATCGTTCGATCTAGAGCAACCAGAAACATAGTCATCATGATCGACACAAGAAGAAGTACGACCTTGGTGGTCGACTGTTCCTGATACGTGTCGTCCTGGTCGCTCGCGGCACGCTTGTTTTCCCCATCGTCGCAGGTCTCACTGCGCTGAGCGGTTTTCATATGTGATAGATTTGCAGTAGGTTCCTCCTTGTGAGGAGACACCGAGCTTTCGGATATCGGCATGACCGTGCAAGGTAAGTTTCGGCTCGCAGGCGAGATCTATACTTGCAGATAGGCAGAGAGAACTGAGACCGATATCAAGTTGACATATTTATGATCACAGACAAGATCTTCTATTTATATTTGGAGAGCTTTCCTCGCTCGGGGTTGTTTCGGATGACTCTAGTTAGAGGATGGCCAGTCGGGGGATAGAAAAGCCCGAGATGGCTATACTGGTCGGGTTCAGCAACTCCCGAGGAAACAACCACAATACGAGTGAAGCACTAATAGCTTATAATTACTGCCATGCTTCTACAGAAGATGATCGTGAGAAAGAGCTAAACTTGAGAGATAGGCTGTCCTCATTTCCAGGCATAATTTAGCCGCTAGCCATCTCCCCATGCCGAGCCCTACATCATGATGGAAGCTTCCAACGATTTGCCCGAAGTCTTTTGCTACATATATATCCTGTCGTTCACAAGCCCTGGAGGCTTCATTACCGAGTCTCTCAACAACAAGGTAGTCCACTTCACAACTGCAATAGATTGCCTTACTATGGATGATAGAACAACCCTCCCAGCAACAAACGTCGACGACGCAATCGCAGGAATGATATCGTACATGGGATGACGTGTTGGATGGGGAAGGGATAGTCGAGAACTTGATTCATCTGAGATATCGAGTCTTCTGAAGGCGCAATTTTACGGATGATATGGATTGACATCCCCCGTAAGTCCATATATCCGTTGGATATTTGCCCTACCGGGGTTTACGGATGTAGTGCGGAGTTATGGAGGTATGTCTACGACGAGAGCCCGCAGAAAAGGGAACAATGATACAGACTTCCTCATGAGCTAAAGTCAACTGAATACAATGGCATCCAAAATCGTCCTCATCACCGGCGCCAACACCGGAATCGGTTTCCAGGTCGTCCGCGCCCTCTGCAACTCCACGCAAACCTACAGCATCATCGTAGGCGGACGATCCCCAGCAAAAGTCCACAGCGCCATTAGTGCCATTCAAAACGAGTTCCCAAACTCCCAAAGCCAGCTCTCCGCCCTTCAGATCGACCTCGAATGCGACGACTCGATCAAACACGCCTACGAAGATATCAACGCCAGGTTCGGAAGACTCGACGCTCTCGTCAATAACGCAGGTATGTCTTTGGACCTCCTCTGTCTGATACACATCCTAACGTCCCAGGCGCGTGGTTTGATGCCCAAGCCAACACCACACTGACCGAACGCCAAATGTGGGCCAAGACCTGGGATGTCAACGTCACGGGCACACACCTCCTCACCTCCGCCCTCATGCCTCTCCTTCTCAGAAGCTCCGACCCCAGGCTCCTCTTCGTGACATCTGGCGCAGCGAGACTCGCAGGCACCGACGACCTCCGTCTTTCAATCAACCGGTCCCCACCGGCCGGCTGGCCCAAGCCCGCTGGGACAACTGCCACCGCGTACCGCAGCGCGAAGACAGGACTCAACATGGTGCTGCGCGAGTGGGGGCGGATCCTCAAAAACGACGGGGTAAAGATTTGGGGGATCGCGCCGGGACACCTGGCGACTGGCTTGGGGGGTAGCACGCCGGAGGAGATGAAGAAGAACGGGGCGGAAGATTCTGATGTAGCCGGGCCATTTATTCGGTCGGTACTGGAGGGGGATAGGGATGCTGAGGTCGGGAGGGTGATTAGGAGGGAGGGAGTGCAGGAGTGGTGAGGCTTGAAGTTGACATCTATTTTGTATCAAATCTGATATCGGTTCACCCTCATACTTTATCGCACACGGTGTGCATTCTGCCCATGTGCAGCCTGCAATATACAATGTGCCCGGAGCGCCAGCACGTAGCATTGCGAACTCGAGTACTCTGTATCCAGGGGGACTGTCGATAGAGTATACTGGTATGCTGAAGCGGTTTAGTCTGCATCCATAAATCGGTGTACTCGAATAAGCACTAATCGATTCTGGAGTCTCCAAGTACTTCCATCTTATCAAAGCTAAGGTCTTGGTTAAGTCGTCTAATAAATTGGACAATTTCTGAGTGGTTCTCAGAAAAGGTTCAAACCCAGTCCCACCCAAAGTGTCTGCCTTCGGATCGCTGATCCAGTGACTGGCTGATATTTTCACTATCTATTAAACTGTTCTTTAATGAATGACGCAGCATGTTCAAGAAATAACTCATCATGCTCCTGACTAGTGAGATAGCTCTTCAGCTCTCTCAGTATCTATTTCCTGTAAAGCCTTTGGGTATCTCCAACCATGCATGTAGTCATCAAGTTGGTTGACGAGAAAGGACTGAGGCCAGTGACTTCAATTCCAGTTAGGAATTTGCCATACAGGATCAATAATCACTGTATGTCAAAACCACTAATTGCAAAAATACTTCTGTGAGCTTTATCGCAGAGGATAGACCTAGAAGAAAGGAAAAGGCCTACTATATCAAGTTTACAAGTCCCCCTTTGTCCATGTCTCCGCCGTGGACCCTTTGTGTTTTCCTTTATTCACAAAGCCCCTTTCATAACACATCACTCACTGCACAAGATGAATGTTTCAGAACTAATATTCATTGTCCCAATTACCCTCAGAGTAGACGTAGACAGTAAGTCTGTGAAATATATAAGGTTATCTTCACTCTCCCTCACCCTCTCTCATCTTCTCTCATCCTCCTCCTCATCATCCTCGTCCAACCACTTCAACAACAAATCTATACAATGTCTTGTTTAACTTCATCACTGGTTGAGTCATCTCTCCAGAAGTTCAGTCAGCTAATATCATCAGGCCGATTGACACCATACGAAGATGAGGTGGCGTTAGTTTTGTGGCAGTATGAGCTTCGCCGACTCCGGCGTTGGGCAGAGGAGGCAGAGTGGTGGTCTCTATACCGACTGTGGGAGGCTCCTGGCATTGAAGACCAGCTCTTACATATCCTACATCGACTGCAACAAGCTCTTGTCGATATTCAGGATGCCTTGAATAACAATACAGCTGATGTGGCCATGTCTGCCGATACCAATGACAATGATGCTGGCAGGACGAAAATGCAAATGATTTATCTTTCTCTACGTGAGACGATCAACTGCTTGAACCAGATAATGGTCATTATTGAGCCTGTGCATCGACCATCCTTCGATCCTACGATACTAGAGAATGAAGCTCTCTTATCCATTCTACTGCGGGCTCCTGATCTCAGCAAGGACAAACCAGCGACTCAGCAACTGTTCGCCTTGTGGTCATACTTGCTTAACACACTGGCACCACTGTATGACTGCCTTATCAGAGAACCTCCCCCCGATCAGGAGATATGCAATGCACTACACAGGAGGTTTGTGCTGACAATCCTAGCACAGATGAGTCTGGCGAAGAGAATTGAAATGTCTGGTGATGGGTTGCGAGATCTCCGTCAGGCAGTGATCCGGGAAGCACAGAAAGTGCGGCTCAAGGTTGACCAGGTGAGGCTATTTAGGATCTGGTGAAATCAACTGATTAGGCACCATTGAAATTGCTCTCCTTTGTTTGCACAGTCTGGCTTTTGTGATTTCAGTTGCTTTTACAAGGCGTTTTGGTGTATCTAGGCTTAGTTAGTAGGATGTCAGCTTGCACAGACGGCTCCCCCAGAATATCAGCCCCTACCAGAGGCGCCGTATGGGTATAAATCTACTACTACTAGACCTTACAAATATAACTGTGTCTATAAAATCCAGCCTTTCAATGAAAGACGCTGACGGAGTGTAGAGATAGTGAAGCCCAGGAGGGATGGATTATAGTGCCATATGACTAGACTTGCTATGGACGCTTGATCATGTGTCAACACTACCCTAGACGGCCTTATACAGTACCTAGAAAAATACAGGTCATAGGCCAGCAGCCAATGGGCGCCCGAGCCTGTTCCGGCTGGCTAAGCGGAACCGGCACACTATTCAGGGATATAAAAGATGCTTTAGTATGTCAATGTACCAGATACATCAAACATAAATCCTGGACATGGCTGCAGTAGCCCACATAACGAATAAGGATCATGGCCTGTCGAGTAACCAAGGCAATTCGGCTGCTGGACATGCAACTAGCATTAAGGACACTGAACCAGAAGGAGGCCGACACATGAAAGTGGAAGATGAGATTACCACAACTGCTGCCAGGGGGCAACAGGAGAGGAAAGCAGAGGAGAATCTACATCCACAATCAGAGACAGGGTCCACTGAGGTACATCCTTCTGCGCCTGCAGCAACAACAGACCCCAATACAGCAGTAGGGTCACCATACTGCATACTACCGGAAGGCGAAAAGATCTTCATTATGCTCCTGGTCTCATTCGCGGCTATTATCTCTGCCATCTCCAGCAGCATCTACTTTCCGGCACTGAACAATCTCTCAAAGGACTTGAATGTGTCCATCTCGCTGATTAATATAACCATCACAACGTACCTGGTAGGCCATTCGCTATTGACAGGAAGCAGTCAACAGAGTATACTGTCAGCGGTAGATCTTCCAAGGAATTGCCCCGTCATTCATAGCAAACTTTGCAGATACCCACGGGCGACGACCCGCCTACCTCATCTGCTTCACCATCTACCTAGCCGCCAATATAGGCCTCGCTGTCCAGGATAGCTACGCGTCACTGCTGGTCCTGCGTTGTCTGCAGAGCTCAGGCAGCAGTGGGACAATTGCTCTGGGAAGCGCTGTCGTTGCTGACTTGTCAACCAGAGCAGAGCGAGGAAAGTATATAGGATACGCTAGTATGGGCGTGACCCTTGGGCCTGCCTTGGGGCCAATCATCGGGGGTTTATTGGACCATTACCTTGGCTGGCGAGCAGTCTTTTGGTTCCTGGTTATTTTCAGCGGTTTCCTCGGGACGATAATTGCTATCATCTTGCCTGAAACCTGCCGCGCAGTTGTGGGCAACGGCTCTGTCCCTGCCGCCAGGTGGAACCAGTCTGTATGGCAGATTCTAGTGCAGAAATGGGGGTCCGGAAAGCAAAAGCCAGAGCCGGACCATCAAACCATCGAGAAGCGGCGTCGACGCACAAATCCGTTCGCGTCGGCTCTGATCGCCACCGACAAGGAAGCACTCATCATTCTGATCTACGGCTCGCTATTGTTCTCCGGGTACATGGCCGTCTTGAGCACCTTGACCTCCCAGCTGCAAGCAAGATTCCACTTCAATTCTATCCAAGTCGGACTATGCTACCTCCCAGTGGGGATAGGCAGTCTAACCTCCCGGTGGACAGTCGGACGAATTCTAGACTGGAACTTCCGCCGAGAAGCCCGACGGCAGGGCCTCCCGATCGAAAAGAACCGACAGCAGGATATCCAGCATTTCAACATCGAAGTCGCCCGCTTGGCCGTGACGATCCCCTTGGTCTACTGCGCGTGTTTGTGCATCATCGCCTACGGCTGGGTCATGGAGTATAAGACTGCGCTGGCCGGCCCGGTGGTGATGCTCTTCTTCACAGGACATCTGACCTCCGGGTCTTTTAGCTCGGTGAGTACGTTGATAGTGGACCTGAATCGCCAGAGTCCTGCTACTGCAGTAGCTGCGAACAACCTGTTCCGGTGTCTGCTGGGTGCGGGAGCCGTTGCGGTTGCGGATCCGTTGATCCAGCGCATCGGAATTGGTTGGACGGCCACGCTCATTGCGTTTCTATGGGTGCTTTTTAGCCCGCTTCTGTGGGCTGTATTCAGATGGGGGCATGGATGGAGAGAGGAGCGTATTAGCAAGGAAAAGAGGGAGCAGAGCCAACCGGAAGAGCTATCCAAGCATGTGGGGGAAGCTCCAACAACCAAGGAGGGTGTTTAAAAACATTGATTTTCCGCTCGGGGCGTCTTGTCTGCCTCCGGAGCCAGACAAGAAGTAATTACTGGATGATATAGATAATAGACAGTGAATAGACTGCACTATGTTGTATTTTGAATGCATGCTATGACCTGTCTGGGGCTATAACAGCAAGCAGCTGCTGGTACAGATGCCAGTACATTTCTCAATGCATGTCAATCGCATTAAAACATCAATGGTGTGCTTGTCATTGGCTTCCTTCCTGTATCTGACTCTCGTATTTAGAATATCAGGCCTTAGAAATATGATGTGATAATAAGCCATAAATGAGTGCTTGAACTTAAAATGATGCCATATCAAGCTAAAAAGGTATATTTGTACATTTGCATAATAGGCAATTTAGCTGAGTGAGAGTAGCAATGATACCAGTACCTGACGAACATGCGCGAATTGCCACGAAATTAGGTGGCGTTCCATACAAAGTTTTTGCAAACTTATTCTACGCATCTTCCTGTGGCGATTCCGATCTCGGCGAAAAAGCTTGATAGGGGAAGGGAATTATCACCTTATTAGGCAGCTGACTAATGCAGGGTGGACAGTCTTGACACAATCCAGCATAATACCGTAGTTAGCAGTTGCAGTCCATTTAGAATGGAGATATGAGTTATCCTATTGCTAGTTGTAGACTTCAAAGGTCACCAAAAGGAAGGACCTGTAGTTCAGTCTCGCGCAGTCTGGCTGCCAAGTGAGTAAAACCCTAGACAAAGCAACAGCGGAAAGCATCCGAGAACCCGCAAAAAGACCGAATATAGACAATTGTGGTCGACTGTGGAGAAGACAGCCACCAATGGCGCGACGGCAACCCCCGATGTCGTGATATGCGGGCTCCAGGCCAGAATACAAAAAGGATTTCTCCGCCATCTTTTCCCCATGGCGAACGTTCCTCTTGAACCTTTGACATCTTCTCAATCACTAAATCGGTTGTGAATGTGGGGAGACACCGCATATCGACCCGAGATGATCTCCCACACCGGCCACACCTTGGAGAAATCCGACTCCAAGATTGAGACGGATCGTTCCCAGCCATACGGGGAAGAGGTTGCACCCTATACTGAGAAGGATGGCCTGCAGCTCAATGTTGGTGGCCGGGGTGCCACCCAGCGTCGCCTGAAGAACTACCAGGTGACCATGATCGGGTTCTGTGGTGGTATTGGCACGGGTCTGTTCGTGGGAACGGGTGCGGCGTATGCCAAAGCTGGTCCTGCTGGTTTGCTACTGGCCTATGCGGTCGTTGGTCTGGTGCTATGGTGTGTGATGCAGAGTATCGCCGAGTTGGCGACGCTGCTGCCCACCGCCGGATCCTTCCCACACTGGGCGACACGCTTCATCGATCCCTCAGTTGGTTTCTCGCTGGCTATCTCGTACGGCTACTGCTACACCATTGCTATCGCGTCAGAAGTGTCTGCGGCTGCGGTGATTGTCTCCTACTGGACGGACATCACCCCCGCGGTGGTCATCACCGTGGGCCTGGTGCTGATTCTGGCGATCAATCTCATGAGTGTGCGATTCTACGGTGAGACAGAAGTCCTCGCCGGTAGCATCAAGGTACTCTGCTTCATTGGCCTGGTGATTGTCTCCATCGTCATCACCTCTGGCGGCGGACCGAACCACGAGGCCATCGGCTTCCGTTACTGGCACAATCCCGGCGCCTGGACCAACTACAACGGCATCACCGGATCTACCGGCCACTTCCTGGGCTTCCTGTCCGCCTTTGTCAACGCCTCCTTCAGCTTTATCGGCGTCGAGACCGTCGTCATCACCGCGGCCGAGTCGGTTGACCCCCACCGGGCGATTCCCAAAGCCGCCCGGCGCGTCACCTATCGCATTGCCTTCTTCTACATCCTCGGCGCGTTCCTCATCGGCATGATCGTCGATCCCAGAAACGCCGATCTTGTTTCCGGAGCGGGAAATGCGAACAGCTCTCCTTGGGTTATTGCCATTCGCCAGGCCGGCATCAACGCTCTGCCTTCCATTGTCAACGCCTGTATCCTGATTTCTGCCTGGTCCGCGGGCAACTCGTACTGCTGGGTCGGCTCGCGAATGATCGTGGCCATGACGACCGATCACCAATTGCCCCAGGTATTTGGCAAGGTGACCAAGAAGGGTGTCCCTTATGTGGCAGTTATCGCCGCTTGGCTGTTTGGACCATTGGCCTATCTCAGTAAGTCACTACAATTCTGCTGATCGTACAATAACTAACAGGTCAGGTCTTGGATCTGGCGGCGCCGCGCAAGCCTTCAGCTGGCTTCTGAATCTCAGCACTGTTGCTGGTCTCATCGCATGGGCCACGCTCTCCTTCTGCTACATTCGCTTCTATGCCGCGCTCAAGGCTCAGGGCGTCCACCGCGACACGCTGCCGTGGAAGGGCCCTCTGCAGCCGTATGCGGCGTGGGTGGGATTCATCGGATCCACCATCATCACCCTCGTGGCCGGATTCCCCGTCTTCCTCAAGGGCAACTGGAATACCTCCGACTTTGTCGCTTCGTATATCGGTATTCCTATCTTCATTGTCCCCATCATCGGATGGAAGTTGTGGTACCGCACCAAGGTTCGTCCCAGATTCCCTGCATTTCGAAGACGTGGCTAACGGTTGTAGTTTGCTCGCGCGGCCAATATTGATCTATGGTCTGGCCGTCTCCAAGAAGGAGAGATCATCGAGAAACACAGGCCGATGACATGGTGGCGTCGCATCGTCGATTGGCTTTTCTGAAGTGCTTGTCTTTTGTATATACTATATAGATGCTTAGAGGTGATACCCAATAATGTATAGAACATCTTCCTTGTTGAATCGATTACGCGGTTTTCAGCTGCTCCGCCAGCTTTCGAATATCGTTGTGAGAGGCTTTGCAGCACCCTCCAACCAGGAATGAAGTAAAGGGACCCGTTGCGCGAGCATTCGTGACAACCTGCGCCAGCTGGGATTCCCACGGGCCCTACTCCAGTCAGAATTGAGTATTTGAAGAGCGAGTAACCACATACCCTTTCATCACTTGTATAACCCTCCGGCTTCTCCCATGTCTGCGTGGTCGTGTTGTAAACCTCTCCATTGGTACCATCCGGATACAGCACCAGACTCGGAACAGCGCCTACCCGGCCTGCGCCGACAGCCCTCGCTATCTCCTCGCCAAACTCACGAACCAGTGCATCCAGCTTATAGATCTTGGTGCAATTGATGCCCACCCCCCATGGCACCGCCGCATCCTCCATCTCCGCAAGCGCAGCCTGCACAATCTGCCCGATCGAACTCCCATCGGGCAACGTCGCCTCCTCTCCGGGGAACACACACGCCACCCAGAACGGCACATCCAAGCCCGCCGCGCGGATCGCCCTCCTCACCGCACGGATCTCATCCAGCCGCGGCAGCGTCTCAAACGCCACATACTGCACTCTCTCCGCCAACTTCTCATCCGCCTCAAGGAATAACCGTAGTCGCTCCAAATGCCATTGGAACAGCGTTTCCTCACTGTCATGCTCCGCGTCGTAGCGCCCGCTGTATTCCTGACCGGGGATCATGCACGCGCCGTACGGGCCCAGACTGAGTGCGATTTTCGCGGCGGATGGGCGCACCCGCGCTTGCTCGGCGATGGCCAGTGCCGTTCGGAGATATTTTCCGATAGCGGGGCGGGGGATGCCATCCGGAAACTCGGGGGTCTTGGTGCGGGCGAATCCTTCAATGGAGACTTGGTAGGTGGCTGTTAGGAGAACGTCGCTGCCTGCTGTTACGAAGTCGCGCTGGCAGGCCAGGAGAGTGGTGGGGTCGGAGACGAGGAGGTGGGATGCCCAGAGGGGGTAGAGGAGTCGAAGGCGATGCCGTGTTGGTCTTGGAGGGAGGTTCCGAGTCCTCCGTCGAGGATTTGGATTGAGGTCATTGCTGGTACTGTTATAAGGAATTGTGATGAGTTGGAGTGATAAATTGAGGTTATTCCCTAGAGAGGTAAAGAGGGAGAGCCGAGTGTGGAGGGGAATTGTGGGATTTGGCTTATCGCACGTGGGGATAACCTTATCTTATCTAGATGCTCTTTTCTTATCTTATCCCATCGATGCCTCGTTTCTGCCTTGTTTCTGCCCGCTGCAATGCTCAGAGCATCATATGATGCATCGAGGACTTGATACGAATCCCTGTGTTGTCTGCATATTCTGTAGCCCATTTTCCAAAATAGACATTGTACGGAACGGCTAAACGGCACGTCTGACTCCGCCAGGGAATAGCTATGAAGATCCGTCAGCATCTATGCAAGGAGTAAGACGCTGTCAGCTCTTATGGTCAGATGGATGCACCTCGAGATTCCGATGAGCCAGTAATCTCGGGCAAATTCTCCAACAGAGCTGGTCCATGACGGTGAGTGGCAGCAATCCCAGGCTGTATCAGTCCCGACATTGAGACCAGACTGTTACACAGACATCGCCTTCAGCATATAAATACACGTCGAGTTCCGCCAAAGAGTTGTTGGAACTCAACCATCTTTACAAAGTTCAGAGATCATTGAAATTCGAACACAAACTCAACATGAAGGTCTTTGCTACTCTTCTCCTCCTAGTCGCCACTGCCACTGCGGCACTCGCTGCTGTCCCTGCTCCCAATGCTGGCTGCTCTCAGCCAGGCCAGTACTGCAACGGCGGAACATTCCTCTGCTGCAACAACCGTCAATGCAGCAACAATGTGGCAAGTCTCTCTTTCGGTCAAAAAGGGTTCCTAAAAATGGTGCCAGTATACTGACAAAGTCTCTTTAGTGCCCATGATCTCCAATCGAGCTACCGAGGGAGACTGCTATTTCGCTCAGGGGCCTCCATTTTATCAGGGCTTCATTATAGCATGTTATAGGCCGCCAAGACTAATTGGTGCTCGTTGTTTGCCTGGCTTGCATCACAAATCGGAAAAACTTGTCTGTTAGCAGTCTCACGAGTAATGCTAGTTGGCTGCCATTGAAGTCCAATTTCAACTGCTGGATTCTCAGGATATGTATTCTACCTGTACCCAGTTCAAAGCAAGATCAGCCATTTAGTCTTGTAGGTATGCGTTCGCTGAACAAGTATAGTCACTCCACACGACCCCCAAAAGAACAGTGTCCTGCGTTTCCCGCCCTAAGCTCTTGGCTCTGAGTCACTCGAGGTAATTCTCTTTCCCAAGATCGTACCGTCTTACGCTGTGCCCGGTTGCTCTACTTTCGATCCATCCTATGCCTACTCGCCTCATCGTGATCGAAAGTGCTTTTATTCAGGTCAGCATGTCAACCTTGATTGTGGTAGAACAGCTGTTTATCAGCGTGTTGATTGGTTCCTCATGGTAAATTGGGCAAACCCCCTTTAACCTGTGGGTATCCGAAGGGATGCACCACACTTAGAACCAGGAGACCATACGGAGTACTATCTGGCCAATTACTCAGACTTACAGTGTGTGCATGGGCATAAACACTTCGGCGGCCAGACTGATGCTTTCAGCCTAGGTTCCATCCATTGCTATGATCGGCTTTCATGATGTCCCCGGCCAATGCTTTTCAGTCCCGGGAAAGGACTGGCGATCGATGAGATCTTGCGCAACTCGACTCTCTTAGCCCGGACCTTACCAGATAATCTCGGTAGTCTTTCCCATCATTCCGCCAATCATCATTCAAGCGTGCTCGATTCAAAAACACTATGTCAGTGGCGGTGTTCTGGCGGTACAATTTGGCGCAGGGGGCAAGGCCGTGCGGAGCATACATGAAAGGGGAGGAAGAAAGGAACTCGACTGATGTCAGGAAAGATGGGAGGAAGCGCAGGAAAGGGAGGCAGGGAGCACATAAGAAGATGCTCCGTCTAAAAGAGACCAGGGACCTGCAGAGGGAGCTTGACATGGAAGATGATGATGAAGGGCAAGCCTTTAGCAGGCTTGCCTATAATTCTCCTGCCAGACAAAGGGGTAGATTCTGATTTTTGGTTAGTCCAGTTATTCAGACTCGTCCTATCTTTAATCCTGTTGCCGTCCATGGGAACCTCGGCACTGGCAGCTTTGTGTCCAGTAGATATTGAAGATTGTGCAGGCTAGTTTTACAATTTGATATGTTTAATAAGCAAAGGATACATGTTGATTAGCTAAATGAGGACACATAATATACCACCACAAACTGTCAATGAGAGTAGCTAATGTCATACTGTTCCAACTGACAAAGAATTAAGAGATGATGAAAGTAGTGAACAGCAGAGAGAATCCACTTGTGCCTCGCTGTTAGATCTGAGTATCATGTCCTATGCCTTACAAGATGCCTGGCGGGAACAGGGCCACGGAGCGGCTAACAGTGTTCAAAGGTCAGCACAGAGCAGTCAACCCAGCATAGGTCCACGCATCTCATTCTTTATGAATCTGCAGCAAAATAGCATTGGACTGATGAGTCGTGATTTGAAGAGAATCCCACTGGGCAGGACGGTAAAGATACTGCTGTGTGCCGTTGTAGATAACCCAAAAGAGATACCCGGACCCAACGTTCAGGAACTTGAACCGTTCCCAGGAATCCAGCTTATCCGCGTCAGCTGCGATATCCCCATTCTTGTTCGACCCCAGCAACCTTCCCGAACTTGCGTTGCGGAATCCAAAACCACCGTCGTTGGCTTCCGCCACCCACAGCTGGTTTTTGGCGTTTTCCCAGGATCGGATGTGGACCTCTTCGTTCTTGTATTTTCCTGGGACGACGCTTAGAGCCCCGCCTCCAGGGACCTTGATCGAGTATTTCTTTCCGTCCTGGACCGGGGAAGAGGATATAGAAAGTTCGGCGTCGGACATGATGAGGATGTTACTATCCAAAACAGGCAAAGTGACAAGTGAAAAGTTGCCTGCTGAGGGGGAGAATAATTATGTGGGAATAATCCTGCTGGACTAAAGACAACTATGGAGAACCCGACTTTATATCTCGAGACTGTGTCTATTCTTCAGCTCAAAGCAGGTCCAGGCAAGACCACAGATAAGAAGGATACACGGCTGAGCTCTTGTAATTCCCGGCCCAGATTGATATCAGCCCCCTAACGCTGTCAGCAAGCGGGCTGACAGGTGCCACGCGCCCATGCACACGCCACTTTGATTCTGTTCTTTCTGGGCGTGCTCCATAGCTGAAATCGGGGCTGATACGGGCTCCTGAACTAGCATCTCGAAGCGATCAGAATTTGAGAGGGCATTAGCTGGTGATAATTGCCAGCACCAGCCGCTCGAACCCGGCTTTAGAACTCAGCCGGATCAGCGGGGAGGTGGGATCTCATCATCTATACGCGAGGGGATCAGCCACTTCGTGCTGTTCTGTACGCTTGATCGATGATGGAATGGGTAGGTGCGCTTCCATGCGCATTCGCAAATTTACCGCATTCCTCTATTCGGACTGCTTTTCTCCACGGAAGCATGGACGGTACTCCTCTATGAGGTCTGTGTCACCTCAAATTGTTCGCCTTGAGCTGAAAGCCGAGGTATTTGAGCCAAGCAACCACCCCATAGGAGGATCGGGGTAATGTTCTAGGCCCCGAGCAACGGACCACACATGCATGCCGAAGCATGATCCCTGCTAGCAGTAATTAGGCCATAATATCTCTAGGTAGCTGCTAACTCTACCCGGGATGGAAAGTATACAACACGCAATATCCGGCGCCGATACGTTACACCTCGGACTTGAGCGACAACAACCCCACGGTTCGTTTTGAATATCTGCCCGTGGACGAGAACGGACGGACCACCTCTAACTACACAAGACCAGTTTACAATATCGTTCAGCGTCCGTAATGCGGCCGATGTTTGAACATAGCGTGTTGGCAACGGCATGGACAACGGTCTCAGATGCAGCATTAATATACTAGGGTTTAGGATACTGTCACAGGACTTACCTTATTCTCCTCTGGCATCAGAGTATTGGATGACGGACTAGCTTTCCTGGTTACGGAGATTGCGCAGTCTCGGCTCTACGATCAGATTTACTGACCGCTGAGGAAGGACTAAAAACGTAGAAACGAAGGCGATGCTTTGTCATGGAGTTAGGTATAAACGTAGCAGCAATTTCAAATCTGGACGGGTAGTATCACCTCTTCATCAATGGGATTGTGCATGTTATATGCCAGAGAAGATGCTAATAGTCCGTCATAGATACCTGGCAAGCTGCGGGGTTATAATAATTGGTATCGTCATCATCACTTCCCAGCTTCCAAGACCGTTGTTCTTTGATTGCTCGTTCGATGCTTCGACGCACATGAGCACGTTCTACGTTGCGACGACCAGGACGAGAGGAGGGTTGTATTGACGCCAAAGAAGCTTCCAATAGTTGATATTTCTGCTGCGAAGCTATCCCTGGAAACATTCCAGCCAGACGGTGTAGTTGGATTCACTTTTGACGATGGCGAAGGACCTTGTGAGGTTTGCTATCGATATCCATGTGAATACCCTGGCTCAGGGCAGGTTAGGAGCCCTAGTGGCTCATTTGAGGCTCTCTATCGGAGCCTGGAGATGGCACAGAGAGACGGGGCCCAGATCAAGTATCTTTCCCGGCCTGTGGATGATACAGCTGTGACGGCCTAATATAGTATTGGCAAAGAGAAGCCCATTGTGCAGTTACACAGGGATTGGGGAGGACGGCTGAATATAATATGAGACAAACAAGAGCCCAATAACAACAGGCCCTATCTATCTACGCTGTATACCCTCTTCCCTCCGAACCAGGTTTCGCACACCTTGCCCTCCAACAGCTCTTCCGCTTCCCACCGCATATCCAACACCACAAAGTCCGCTCTACGTCCTTCCCTCAAGCACCCCGTCCATCCCTCTGCAAACCTCGCATACGCCGCCCCTCCGTCGCAGCCGCGACAGCCTCCGCCAGCCCCAAGCCAAAATGCGCATTCGTAGCCTGGGACTCCCCGGGTTCCAGCGCCGACCGCCTCGTAGTCGCATTATACAGATTCGGCAACGGCAAATGCGCCGCAGTAGGCGCATCCGTCCCAATCGCAAGCCTCGCCCCTCCATCCACAAACTCCCTATACGCCAACGCCCTCTGGCACCGGTCGCCGATCAGTGCCGGCCATGCCCGGAATAAAACCGGATCCGAGTGCACCGGCTGCACTGACGCAGTTATGCCCAACTTTCCCAGCCGCTTTGCGTCCTCGGGGGCAGTGAGCTCAAGATGCTCGATGCGGTGGCGCCGGCCAGGCGTGCCCACTTCTGCTAGGACATCGATGGCCTGCTTTACGGCTTTGTCGCCGATAGCGTGGATAGCGCATTGCAGGCCGGCTTGGTCGGCGCGCTGCACGACGGCTTTGAGCATGTCTGCGGGCCAGATGGGTTCGACGGGGTCGGTAAGGTTGCCGTAGGGTTGGCTCAGGGCTGCTGTGCAGCCGTCTACGACGCCGTCGCAGATGAGCTTTATGCCCATGATGCAGAAATGGGCTGAGTTACTGGGGCTGAACTCAGCGTGTAGCTGGATTGCGCGGTCGACGTGGCGAAAGTTGGTTTCTTGGTTCTTGGAAAAGGGGACGAGCCAGTATGCTGCGATGTGCAGGGGGGAATTGTGACGTTGTCGGTAGAGCTGGAGAACGTCCCAGGTGGGCTCGTCCATGGCCATGTCGACGAGGCCAGTGTACCCGGCCTGCGTGTATGCCGTGAAAGCTTGGTCAAGGGCGTTTAGTTTTGCTTCTTGAGTTGTGATTTTTGCGAGAAATGGCCAGACGAGATCAACCACGGCACTTTCGCTCAGGAGACCTGATGGTCTTCCGGTCTCGTCACGGTGAATCGTTCCGCCAGGTGGATCCGGGGTCGTGTAGATACCCATTTCTTCCAAGGCAGCCGGGTTGCACCACACTGAGTGTAGATCCAGGGATTCGATATGGATCGGGCGTGGATCCAAATCGTCCAACATACTTGCCAGAGCGATCCCACTGGTTGTCGATTGAATCCATCCTCGGCAGAGAAGACGAGGAGCGGTAGGATGGCTTGCTGCAAATGATCTGATGGCCTTCCGGATGTCCTCTAGACATGTACATTCCATCAAGTCGAGCTTGCCCAAGGACAGACCAAAGTTGAGGATGTGCACATGGCCGTCGATGAAGCCGGGCACAACAATTCGGCTATTTAGGTCGATTGTATTGTCTTCAAAGGGAGCCTCGTCCTGTACACCCACATAAATAATGTGGTCATCTTCGATGACCATTGATTCCGCAAATGCATTGTCTGCGTTTAGGTCGTTTGATGAGGGAGAGAATATGCGGCCGTTCGTGAAGATGGTCTTCATGGTGGTTCAGTTTCAGCTGTGGTAATCCAGGGAATCAATCTACTGTTGCCATATATAAGCAGTTTCCCTTTGTCATATGTCAAAGATAAGCCTATTCTCTTCCACTTGCCCTTTTGAGCGTTGCTGAACAGTGAGATGCCTAGATATATGTCGGCAATTGTGATTGGCTGATAAGGAATACAATTGCAGCCGGAGAGCCCCGCCTTGACCGCGGAAAGTGACGCCATTGGTCAGGTTGATTCTATATCACCATCATATGGCTTCTTTGATAATCCCAGATGCCTAGTCCAGCAAGAAAACACTCCGTCGGCTCGGCAAATGGACTCGTGGTGTTTCAATCTTGAGGCAAGCTAAAGTATCTGACAGCTGGTTGTGTCCATACCGAAACCAGCATGTCCACCCGAGAAGTGCATCTGCAAAGATATAAATAAGTTTACATGGCCTCACATCTACGTCAATCCTATCCATAGTTGACAGCTCAATTTCTGTAATCATGACCTCCAAATGCTGCTCCGGAAAGCGCCGCTCTTCTGCATCATCTACCCACCCGCTAGGTATGCCTCAATTTCCAAAAGGAGTATGTCATACCAATATGTTAGACCCTCTGTCCGCTGATGAGATCACCACCGCTGCTACGCTCCTTCGCCAACATGCGCACCCAACGGCCCTCAAGTTCAACTGCATTACCCTTCACGAGCCCCTCAAAGCCGAGCTGAACGCTTTCCTAAGTGGAACAGGACCCCGTCCTGCCCGTCGTGCCTTTTCCATCATCCTCAAAAAAGGCACCCCCGAGGTCTCCGAGGGTATTGTCAACTTGACCACAAAGAAGGTTGAATCATGGAACAGCGTCAAGGATGTTATGCCGACACTGACCCTGGACGACCTTAACATCATCGAGCACATCGCCAGCAAGGATTCCAGGGTCATTGAAGCATGCCGGGAGATTGGCATCACTGATATGTCCCGTGTCTATTTTGATGCCTGGGCGATTGGGATTGACGAGCGCTGGGGCTTTGAGCGCCGGCTGCAGCAAGCACTGCCCTACTACCGCACCTCCAAATATGACAATCAGTATGCACACCCGCTTGATTTTACTGTTGTCGCCGATACAGAGAGACAGGAGATCCTCAGCGTGGACGTCAGGCGTGTGAATGGGGAACGTACTCCGGTGCCTCTGGACGAGCATAATTACCTCCCTCAGTTTATTCAAGATCATTACCGTCCAGAGCGCCTCAAGCCCATTGAAATCACCCAGCCGGAGGGCGTTTCGTTCAGAATGAACGGCAATGAGATTGAATGGGCCGGACTCAAAATGCATGTTGGGTTCAACTACCGCGAAGGCATCGTGTTATCGAACATCCGGATCGATGACCCGTACGAGAACCGTGAGCGGAAGCTCTTCCACCGCGTCAGCATGGTGGAGATGGTGGTTCCCTATGGCTGTCCCAAGCCACCGCATCACAAGAAGCATGCCTTTGACGTGGGTGAATACGGTTCTGGGTTCATGACCAATTCGCTCAAGCTGGGCTGTGACTGCAAGGGTGCCATCCAGTACCTGGATGCCGTTCTAGCCACATCTACAGGCGAAGCCACCGTCATAGAGAACGCCATCTGCATCCACGAAGAAGACAACGGACTCCTGTACAAGCACACCGACTTCCGAGACGGCAACGTCATCTCAGCTCGAGACCGCAAACTCATCATCTCCCAAATCATCACCGCCGCCAACTACGAGTACGCCTTCTACCACACCTTCACGCTCGACGGAACGTACAAGCTCGAAGTCAAACTCACAGGCATGCTCAACACCTACTGTCTGCATCCCTCCGAACAAGCCGCCGCCTTCGGCACAGAGATCGCCCGCGGCCTCGATGCCCAGAACCACCAGCACATCTTCTCCCTGCGCGTCGACCCCGAAATCGACGGCCCCAACAACACCGTCGTGCAGAGCGACGCCGTCCCCATGGCCGACCCCGTCGGCTCCCCCGCCAACCCCTATGGCAACGGCTTCTACGCAAAGAAGACCCCTCTACGGACCGCCCTCCAAGGCGCAGCAGACTACTGCCACGGAACCTCCCGCGGATGGGATATCACCAACCCCTCCCGCCTCAACCCATCCACCCGCAAACCCATCGCCTACAAGATCCTCAACAACAACTGCCCCCGCTGCTCGCCAAACCCGGAAGCACCGTCCACAAGCGCGCGGGCTTCGCACGCCATGCGCTCTGGGTCCTGCCCTACCGCGACCACGAGATCTTCCCCGCGGGCCAATACGTGTGCCAGTCAACGGGGGAAGAGGACCACCCGCACAACCCAACGATCGTCGACTGGGCGGCGAGGAACGAGTGTATTGAGAATACCGATATTGTGTGTTATATCCAGTTTGGACTGACGCATTTCCCGCGCACGGAAGACTTTCCGATCATGCCGGCGGAGCCGGTGAGTGTTGTGCTGCGGGCGTCGAATTTTTTCCAGAAGAATCCGGCGCTGTGGGTGCCGCCTTCGGATGTGGTGAGGGATCTGAGTTCGAGAAACGCAATTGAGGCGAGGGAATTGGTGGAGACGCCGAGGTTATAGTTAGTCTATTGCCGTAGGGTCTAGATTCAAATATCCAATTTCTGGCACCAGATTGTTGCATAAGTAGTACATCAGCTGTCAGTCATTGTTAGCGAGGACCAGACCGTCCACGAAATGAAGTATCAATCCAGAAATCATTGACAGTATTAGTAGTTAGCACCCATCTATAGAGGTGAACAAGTTGGTACGCCGGCAATTGCCGAGCTCCACCGGCTCGCGTGACTGGCGCGTGGCGATGAAACCGGGACGATTAGCTAGTTCCCCTAACGTTTGTTTGGGAGGGAAGACTATTTCCATTGGTTTCGAATATCTGCAGAAGATATGTGAGTGATTGATATATATATGCTGTGCGATGGCAGATTGCACAGCCAGAACGCAAAAGTCCTACCGTCGACCTCGACGGCGGCCGGCTCATTTGCGGACGAAGACTGGATGTCTGACCTGTAGGCTGCCCTTCAACGCATTCTTCGAGGCTTGCTAATCAATTAGGTCGATCGCGAAAGAAGAAGTGCGATGAGAGTGGCTCGCCGTGTCAAAACTGCCTCAGATGCGATATAGAATGCGTCTGGCCAGTTAGGAGACCTAGCCATGTCGATGATCAATTGACTCATCCTGGGAGTAGCAGCATATCGGCAGAGCCCGCCTCAGACACAGAATATCAGCTTGTTGATACGCAGACACCTTCTATAATCGCCTTCTCAAATGGACCAGCGAGCTACTCGTCCGTCCTTACTCCTGCCGACAGCCAGCTATTTAGCTTCTTGCAAACCATTTTCCTGCCACAGCTCATTCATCCTGTAACCAAAGGGCTGTGAACGAGCTGGTGACTAGGGAAAGCCTTCGATGGGCATTCCAATCTCCTTTCTGTATGCACGCACTTCTCGCCTGTGCTGCTGCAGAGATACCTGTCAATAACCTGCAGTACCGGCGAATGGCCGAGATGCATTACATCAAGGCTGTTGCTGGCCTGCGGCAGAGCCTTGTACAAACGGGTGACTCAAGTCAATGGACAGTTGTCTTGTGGACGGTGCTGATGTTATGCATTTACGAGGTGAGCAGAAGAAGCAATGGTTTGATCAATCCTAACAATCACAGCGATCCAAACCACATCACTCGCAAGGCGTCGATGTCCATCTCGCCGGGGCAGCCCAACTGATTCAAATGTATTTTCGACAAAAGATACCCGATGCAAGCACTAATGCAACAGGCGCCTGGGCCCGCTTATTTCTGGAATCATTCGTGTTTCACGTCTCAACGAGCATACCATTTCAGCTTACATCTACACAATCAACTGCTATCGACTCCGCCTTTTACCTTGCGGAAAACATACTGGAGGTTCTCTGTCGACCACATATTTCCGTGGATACTACCTCGCCAGTCCTCGGTGTCCCTCCGAAACTGTTCCAGTATGTCTACACGATCGCACGTATGTACCAACAGTATCCCGACTATGGCGTTGACATCTCCTACTGCAACGAGTTGGAGCAGGATCTGAGACGATGGGATAGTCTGATGGCAGGCACGGCTGCTCCTGAGCTTCTTGCAGGGCCGAGATTGTATGTCTTGTGTTCGCGAATCCTTCTCAATCGGCTCATGAATCCCGGCGGGAATCAATCAGACAGTTTCGTCCGTGAGCTTGTTTCACACGCCATGGCTCTTGTGACTCAATTACAGCCAGCACAAGATTACTTTGCCGAGTACTATAGTTGGCCACTCCTTGTGCTTGGGACCTGTGCACAGACGCAACCAGACCAGCAGATATTGCTGTCACAAATACAGGGGTTCTGGCAGGCGACCAATAATGGCACCATGAAACGGCTGGAGAACATGCTGACAGCCTACTGGACTAATGGGGAATCAACCGCGCAGAGTAACTTGTGGTTGATATGAACATTGCAAAATTCATATCAATGACACCATTTCCCTTTTTCGGCGATGGACCTCAACCAATAGCAGTTAAGAATATGTAACTGACCAATGGCGGTACATTTAAGTGGACCATATTCGCGGCATTTGTCAGCTTCCTCCCATCGTTGCGATTTAACCGTATCCGATATCCGTAGGCGCCTTTTTCTATCCGATACTTGGAAGAACACAGTCGGCCGAGTATATATACAACGACAATCATGTCTTCTCTTCCCTCGCTTCAATTTTCACATGCGCATCTCTGCAACCGCATTACCTGAAGCAACATGGGTTCCAACGCCTTCCAATCCCCCGCCGTCACCAAGTCCTCCTCCACCCCCTACTACACCCCGCCAACAACGGCGGCGCCGCCCTGCACCCCAACGACCCCAAGACTCCCACACTCTTCCGGCCGCTGCAAATCCGCAATGTAACGCTCAAGAACCGCATCATGGTCTCGCCCATGTGCATGTACTCCTGCGAGTCGGACCCGTCCTCTCCCTCCGTCGGCGCCCTGACAAACTACCACCTCGCGCACCTGGGCCACCTCGCCCTCAAAGGCGCGGGCCTCGTCTTCATCGAAGCCATCGCCGTGCAGCCTAACGGGCGCATCTCCCCCAACGACTCTGGCCTTTGGCAGGAAGGGACAGCCTCGGAACAATTCCTGGGTCTGAAGCGCGTGGTTGAGTTCATGCACGCGCAGGGCGCCAAAGTCGGGATTCAGCTTGCGCATGCGGGCCGGAAAGCGAGTGTCGTTGCGCCGTGGCTGGCGGCGCAGGCGGGCAAGCCGAGTGTCAAGGCGGATGAGAGCGTTGGCGGGTGGCCGGGTGATGTGGTGGGTCCGTCCGGCGGGGAGGAGCATATCTTTAGTCCTGTGGAGGACGCATACTGCGTGCCGCGGGCGCTGAGCACGGCGGAGGTTCGTGAACTAGTGGCTGCGTTTGCGAAGAGCGCGCGGTTAGCGGTGCAGGCCGGGGTGGATGTTATCGAGATCCATGGCGCGCATGGCTATCTGATCAACGAGTTCCTGAGTCCGGTGACGAACAAGCGGACGGACGAGTACGGCGGGAGCTTTGAGAACCGGACGCGGATTGTGCGCGAGGTTGCGGCTGCTATTCGTGAGGTTATCCCCGAGGGGATGCCGCTGTTCTTGCGTATTAGTGCGACAGAGTGGTTGGAGGGTCAGCCCGTGGCGGCGGAGTCGGGCAGCTGGGACCTGCAGAGCTCGCTGGAGCTGGTCAAGAAGCTTCCCGAATGGGGCATTGACCTTGTGGATGTCAGCTCTGCGGGGAATCACAAAGACCAGAAGATCGACCTGCACACAGCCTACCAGACGGACCTTGCCGGGCAGATCCGCCAGGCCATCCGAGCGGCTGGAGCGTCGACTCTCGTGGGTGCCGTGGGTTTGATCACCGATTCGGAACAGGCGAGGGGACTCGTCCAGGGAGCGGACGAGGCGACTACAGCCGAGGCTATGCTGTCAGGACCTGAACCAAAGGCGGATGCCATTCTGATAGCCCGTCAGTTCCTGCGTGAGCCGGAATGGGTGTTTTCCACGGCGAGAAAGTTGGATGTACCGGTTACCGTCCCGGTGCAGTTTGGCAGGGCCATTTAATCAAATAGATAGAATAAATATATGCATTTCTCCTATTCCAGGCAGAAACCCAAATACTCGTGTAAATGATAAGCATCGGAGCCCTCCGATGCACAGATGACTCAGCTAGTTATACACTGCATTAAGTTAACCCCGCCATGACGCCTTAAAGCTCCCCCCGCATCCCATTCCCGGTATCATTGACTGATCACCCTCTCATCAATCATCAACAACAAACTACATTGTCAAGATACAAAAAATGGCCCTCAAACCAGGCGACAACTTCCCCGACAATGTAGTCTTCCAGTCCGTCAATCTCCCCCCTCCCCATTGACTCCACTAACTCAGCCAGGTACATCCCCTACGCCGAAGAAAGCAGCGAGATCAACGCCTGCGGCATCCCAATCAACTACAATGCCTCCAAAGAATGGGCCGATAAGAAAGTCGTCCTCTTCTCCGTTCCTGGTTTGTCTTTTTCAACCCTCAATTGCAACTAAATCTAACAGCACAGGGGCATTCACACCCACCTGCTCGGCGAACCACCTCCCCGGGTACATCAAGAGCCTCCCGCAGCTAAAGGAAAAGGGCGTGCAGATTGTTGCCGTTCTGGCATCGAATGATCCGTTTGTGATGAGTGCGTGGGGCAAGGCGAATCAGGTCACGGGGGATGATATCGTATGTAATGCGACTGCTCGAGGGGCGATGGCTGGCTGACGGTGTTATAGCTGTTTCTGTCTGATCCCCAGGCGAGGTTCTCTGATAGCATTGGATGGGCGAATGCGGGGCGGACGGGCCGGTATGCGATTATCATTGACCATGGGAAGGTGACGTATGCGCAGATTGAGACGGAGAAGGGGGCTGTCAAGGTATGTGTCTTGTCTTTGTTGTTGATGACGAGGGTGCTGATCAGGGTAGGTTTCCGGTGCGGATGCCGTTTTGGCGCATTTGTGATACCATCACACGAGTTTAGAGGATGATAGAGTTGTGCAGTTCTTGATATATCCTCAACTGCTCATGTATCGTTTGGATGAGTCCTTCGCTGTTGGCCACCATGATCATACACTGTACAGTGGGATAGTATATGTATGGGACGATAGGGGCACTGTAAGCTATGGATGTGTAGCCTGGCTAGATAAATGCAATCAGGTATCAATGTCAGATTATAATCTTGAGTCAATGTAAGTCAATGTAAGCCAATGTCTGCTATGTATCGAGGACAATATTTGACAGCAAGGAGCACCTTGCAGGCATTGTAACTTGCTAGACGATACGAAGCAATACATAACTTCGCGGCATACGTCTCTGCCCGAAAATAGGCAACTATATCTCGATCCAATGGACTCGAAGACTCAGTCTCTAGATACTGTCGTAATTCTAGTATAATATGTGATATTCAATGATATGGTTGCAATCCACAAGGACTCTAGCACTAACATACACTCGATGCCTTAAAATCGGGCAAAATTCTGCATTCGAGCATCGAATGGCCGAGGTCACATTGGATAGATTGAAAATTGCAATTCTACTCCATAAGAACTGCGATTTGCTATTTCGCTGCCTTTTTCGGCAGCAGGTGATGCTGAAAATGGCTGTCTTTCAGCAACTTCCTTCTGCCACGCTCCCGCACTTTCCGCCAACACACCATCTAGAGTAATACTTCCTGCCTGAGGCTGCCAATGTTGTGGGCACTATTATCAGGAATTGCCCTGGAAGGCTTGTCCTCTGCTTCACCATCACAGGTCCCTATAATTTCATGAGGGCGCCATATTCAGTGCCCTCAATGTCGCACTAGTTAGTCTCTGGCTAGTACCTTAGTAATATAACTATAATAAGCCCCCTGTTCCTGCCTCTCTACCCTCCACTTTTAGTCACCCTTTGCTCATATTGCATCTCCAAAAGCTTAACTTTATTGTTATCCATTATTTTAACTGGGTATCCAGTCATCACTCCCTAGGATCCCTTTTGCTCTCCCTGTTGCTTTTGCTTCCTATAGTCAGCTTATGTGTTTAATCATGCGTCATCAGAGAGAAACTAGTGCTAGCTCTCACACTGCTACTACTAAATCATCCACTACATCTCCTGGAATTACTGATGATGATAGATCCTTTAAACCTAAGTCAGAGATAGATCTGGGTCGCGACGAGGCGAAAGGCAAATTCAGTCGCTGGACGGCCACTCTGCCTTATTGCCTCAAGTTGACGAGTTATTCTCCTACCACTTCTGCGCGAAGTGTGCCTTGAAACGAATGTGGTTAGGGTTTGAAATAGCGTCTCTCTGTTTGCGAAATGGAAAGCAACAGTGGTCGCCTCTGTAGGATGAAGCTGGAACACTTCAATACAGTGGATTGTCAATTTTTCGAGTCGGAGAGCAAAGCCTTGATATGATCTCTCATTCTACTGCTACCGACTGGCTTTGGTTCATGATCAGTAGCACATGGATGGGTTCGTCAACTGATGCTAGGCTGCAGGCAATGCAAAGCAAATGCGCGGGTCATAGTTCAACAATAGGATATTATATATGTACCTGGTTGAAAAATTCGAAGGGGCCTACAGATAGCCAGATGCTCTGTCCTCAACAGGCTTCCACAGGATCAGGATATAATGAGACTATTGAGGCACTTTGGAGCGCTACCAGTTACACTAGACTCACTACAGCAATACCTTCGCACCTACAAGTCAAGTCCTTAGGCGAATTCAAAGCATTCCACAGGCTACGACCGTTTGCCGTTGATTGCACAAGCTTCAGCGCCATGTCGGGGTGCGTCAGGAAAAGATAATCCGCAGCGACCGCTGGGCTTGGAGGCGGCAGAAGTGATTTGATTCGCCATTGTGCTTCATTACACGCATTGTGAACCACAGTTGACCAGAAGCCGGGTGATATTACTTACAGTCGGGACTCCCCGTGTGTTGGTTGGCGATGAGCAATGACCCCAAAGGCTAGACTATGCAAGTCCGTTATGTCACAACTCTCACCTCGTCCTTGATTACGCACAGTTTACTGTCAGAAGGGCCAGTAATGATGGACGAAGGAACGTCCACGACCTCGTACGGCATGTTATTCCTTCAGGTCGAGCCAGATAAATCTAGCTTATTTGGATGCGCAGTTATAATAATCTCGAGGAGGAGTCCGTTCATGTAGCATGTTTCATGCACAAGAATAACAGATCAGAAATTGTCTTAAGGTCTAACGTCACCTTTGCGGGTGTTTCATATCTTGCTTTGGGACGGCCGCGGTTATCGATGAGAAAGAAACGTTTGTGGATGCGAGAACCCGATGAATGAGTTTCATTATCTCAGCTCTTCAGGGATTTTGGTTATGTTGCTGTAGAATTCTTGAATCATGTGAGTTTCAAGGATTGAAGAATTGATTGAGGATGTTGGTTATACACTTATTTTATATCTAATCTGACAGTTGTGTATCATAGTTTAATTGCCTTTATTTGTTGTCAATGGCGGAAAATTATCCCACTAAGACGCCATCGCCGCCCCTCGATGTCGTGATTATAGTCGCGGATGACACCCATATTGACCGTCTAGGTCGTCTATTATGGCAGGTATCAACCCCTCCCGTGGGACTCGCGGCATGTTTCTTGAAGAAAGGCCTTGGTTGACCTTGCCGTATTGGCTGGCTATAATATCACAGCGCTGGGTCCTGCACGTTTATCCTAACTCAAGAAAAGGCTTTTAAGGGGTGTGGGGTCGTCATGATTCATGTACAGACTGCCTGAATAAGTATAAATATAGAGACAAAGTCAACCGCAGTATTACGTTATGCAGACCGACCCGACTCATAGAAAATGGCATTATCCGACAAAGACAAAGTCGAGGCAGAAGTACACTCATCTCTATCTTCTCATCCATCGGCCGATAAAGACGACAGTTACGATGTCTACACGCAGATTCGAGGACTCGAATATCCGTCAGAAGAGGCGAAAAAGGTCCTCCGCAAGATCGACACTCGCTTGATTCCGCTCCTCTTCGTGATATACATGCTCCAGGTGCGTATTTCCCGTTGCATTGATCCTCGCTAATTGCGTAGTATCTGGACAAAAACAGCCTTAACTTCGCCTCGGTGTACGGCCTCAAACAAGGCACGCATCTTCACGGACAGGACTACGCCTGGCTCGGCTCAATCTTCTACTTTGGTTATTTGATCGCCCAGTATCCGGCCGGATATGCCCTGCAGCGACTTCCGATGGGAAAAGTCCTGTCCATCACTACCATCAGTATACCATCGCTTAGAACTCATCTAGATCAATACTAACGAACTCATAGTATGGGGCGCACTGCTCATGACCACGCCCGCCTGCCACAACTTCGCCGGCATCGCCGCCAACCGCTTCCTCCTAGGGCTTGTCGAGGCCGTCGTGAACCCTGGTTTTGTCCTCCTCATGAGCGTGTGGTATACAGCAAAGGAGCAGCCGCTGCGTCTGGAGGCGTATTACTGCACTAACGGCATCGCTACGATGTTTGGCGGGTAGGCCCATCGCCTCATGCCTCGCTCCTGTGAAATCTGCTAAAAGGGAAGGGAATAAAATAGATTGATCGGCTACGCTGTGGGACATATTACCTCCGGTCTACCGCGGTGGATGTACGTCTTCCTCATCTTCGGTGCGGTGTCCGTCGCGACAGGGATCATCTCGCTACTTCTGCTTCCTGATCTCCCGTCCACCGCGCGATTCCTCACCCCCAGGGAGCGAGCCATCGCCGTCCACCGCGTCTCCAGGAACCAGCAGGGCGTTAAGAATCACCACTTCAAGTGGGAGCAGGTCTGGCAGGCCGCGCGGGATCCCAAAACATGGCTTCTCTTTGTGATGGCGGTTGGGGCGCAGGTGCCCAACTCTGCGTTGACGAGTGTATGCTTTGCTTCCAAGTTACAATGCTAACGCTAAATCTGGCTATGATGTGTTCTAACCGCAACAGTTCACCTCCATCATCGTCGGCTCGTTCGGCTTCGATACCCTCGGCACGCAATACCTGCAGATTCCCGGCGGCGCGGTACAATTCCTCGCGCTACTGGTGGGTGGCTGGATCGCGACGAAATTCGGTGATAAATTCCACTCGCGCAGTGCGTGTATGATCGTCGCTAACAGCATCTGTATCATTGGCTCTGGATTACTCGTTGGCCTGCCTGATACAAACAAATGGGGACGGCTTGTGGCGCTGTGGCTGTGCTACTTCCAGGGTCTCGGGTTCAGTATGAGTTTGACGACGGTGAGTTCGAATGTCGCCGGGTATACCAAGAAGCAGGTGACCGGCGCGCTGCTGTTTACCGGGTACTGTGTGGGGAATATCATTGGGCCGCAGACGTTCAAGGAGAGCGAGGCGCCGGGGTATCGTAGTGCTTATATTGCGTGAGTAGACTCTTTTCATGTGGTATAATGACGCTGACGGGGCAGGATGTTGGTGGGGTATGTGGTTAAGCTTGTGTCGATTACAGCATTGTATGTGTATATGTACAGGGAGAATCAGCGAAGGGATCGGATCAGTGCGGAGGAGTCGGATGGGGATAAGGGCATTGAGAATGGGATGCTGGTAAGTTTGTCGCTATTGAGTATATGACGCAGGCTAATTTTCCAGGACCAAACCGAGATTGACAACAAGCAATTTCGTTATGTCCTGTAGTACTATGCAAACAGTCTGCAGAAGAAATACGACTCAGTGTAATTATGAACAACCCTGTCAAAACTAAAGATAGTATTTAAGGCTGTCTGGGCCATAGTCCTGTATTCTCAGGATGATAGGCGTATAGAAGGTAGCTTCAAGCCTCTTCATTAATTGGCAACATACATATCAAGGCGCTATCGCCCCAGACCACGGCATGGGGGTCGTTTTGGGGGCGCGACGGAAGAGGGAAGTTTGGAGCAGGGGAACGATTGTTGACAATGTTAAGTCCGGTTCAGTACTGGTTCTTTTAGACATTGCTGATAAAGAACTGTTTCATCGCGTCGGGGAATCAGTAGGAGAACTATAAGACAGGGGCTTGAACAGTCAATCAGATTCATCAGAGGAAAGAACCCAGCCATGCATCCGCCACATCCTATCCAGGTCCTTGCCAACCGCAATCTGCCCCGTTTCCTTGTTAATAAACCTCAGATTCTTCTTTGGACATGGCCAGGGACAATATCACCAGGCATCGTGCCATGCTATATGACCATCTTCACAGATGACATGAATTTCCTCCACATTAGGATACAATTCATATAGCTCATGGGATTAAAAGTGAAAAAAGGATTCATCATTCTCCCACTTAAATGTAAGCCAGCAAACCAGCAGTTGTTCAGCAAGATCAATTGAGTTAAATCAAGAATGCCTAATTAAGATCATGTCAATCTTAAAGTTAACCCAGACATACCGCGGCTCAACCCCTGTAGAAAAATTAAAGGCCTTCTAGTACAGCCCCTGATTTTAGGCCTCATGGCAGGCCTGAAGGACTGCAGGTACTGGTGTTAATGAGGTTACATGCAAAAGCTTCCCCTATGACCCATACTCTCTCTTTTCACGCACCTCAACAGTGCGTAGCTTAACTATTAACTCCCAAATTCAAGCACGAAGCTCAAAGGGGAGACAGGGGAAAAGGTGGAACGCGGCCATGCAGCACTATGCTAGCAATGGAATTTATTCAGTAGGATGGGTCAGCTAATGGTGTGCCTCTTAGTATTTTAGAGGTCAAGAAATACAACATTAAGAGGGAGCGACAGATAATTTTAAAAGGTTGCCCAAGGGCGTTGGTGGAAGATGAGGAATGGATGCGGATAGAAAAGTAGTGCTTTTTAGCGCCCTTTTCTAGTGTGTACGTCTCCGCCAGCGAGATGGCAAAGTGGGTGTAGGATAGGCAGTGCCTGAGACAGATAACATAAAAGTGGGCTCCGAGGAATGAGGGACTGGTAACCTCTTTCCAGTTAATGAAAGCCTCCATCCGAGTCAGGGATGAATAGCTCTCAATTAATAAGGCACGCCTTGCGAGAGCTCACTAATCGGTCATGGTGAGATTTTGATGCGTGTGAGGGGATATTCCTTAAGGAGAAGCTAGTAATGCCAGGAGGCTCCGCATAAGAGATTGGTATCCCTGTCACGAAGTAACTGGATGCCATATAAGGCATTCATAGGGGTATAATAACTAGGCTGGTATAGGATACCTCCTATATATATATTCATCTGTCTTACCTGCTTACAATCTTCATCTGGAATCCTATAGATATAGAATTATAGATAATATAACTACTCTCTACCCTTAACTACTAACAACTCTCTCTATATGGTCTGGAATGGTACTTTACTCTTGAACTCAGAACTCTAATGCCTGCTGGGATTAGCTTGGTTAGTATTGGTAGTAATGCTGACTAAAAGGGAGGTGAGTGGTTACATGTCTCTGCTGTTAGTATTATTAAAGTGATTTTAATATGAGGACTTTCTTCGGTTCTTCCTTTTAAGGAGCCCAGATAACTGCAATTATGAACTAAGTCAGGTGTAAGGAAGTAGTGTTCTGGGCAGCTACTAACCACAATACCAAAAGGGTTCCAATGATGATTCCCCTTGAATCATCAAGCCTAGAACATGCTTATATACCACCAACCCCCTAGGCCGTCTGCCCCATGACATCAGGCGAATTATAAGTAATAATTAAGGTCTAAGAAAAGCTCCGCCCATGCCTTAGCCTTATGGAATGCATCTGTAGCTAAGCCTTATCTCTTTGTCCGGGTCTGAAATGAGGTTTTAGGTCTAGGAGAAGTTGTCAGCGCGCCTAATTGCTTGTTAACAGACTATTTAATCTTAATCTAACTTATCTGCTTTTTAATGCTATTTCCTGCAGTTGTATGAGGGAAAGGTTTCAGTAATGTTGCTGTATGTTAGTGTAGATATATCATGTGAGGAGATATTAGGCAATGTGAGGCAAACCCAGTGAACTACTCCCTATATATACCTGTTTCTTTAACTAGTCCCTATGTTTTCAAAAGACGTTGTCATAAGGGTATATTACCCATAGGCTGGTAATTTATGACAAGTCACCTATAATAACAAGTATGAGCAGATTGAGTCTTACACTTTCTAAAGTTTTGGTTGAGCAGCAAAAATTAGATCTGTAGTCTTTGTTATGAGTGGTCTTTATGTTTAGAGTTAAACCTTGAGTTAAATCACCGAGTACTTCTATTCTTAGTGTTAAGTACTCATTCTCTGTCCCAGGCTGAGTTCCAATATTAATGGTATTAAGGATATTACTAGACAGAGTGTTTCCTTGCTTAAGTTTATTAGATGTTAGTGATGTTAGAGTTATGGAGTCTTTAAATGCTGGTGGCTCTGACAAATATTTATGAGATTTAATAGAGCTTTAAGAGTTGCTAGTATATCTATTATTACCATGGACTTGCTCTCTGTCATTATTTATGGCTAAGATGCAGCTCCGCCATAGAAATTGCTTATCTTAATATCAAGCACATTCTGTGGCTTTGTGATACTGGTGGAGGACTATTCATGTGTTAGGGGAATAGAAGAGTCTAATCTATTTACTGGCACTGCTGTTAGATGAAGACAGACTCTGGGAAAGAAAGAAAACTAAAAGGGCTGTAGAACATGGGCTAGAGCTGGCTAAGTTCCACCCATAGAGGCTAATATATTTCAAGGCTGCTTGTAGCTAGGGCCATGGTAGGACTCTAATAGATTAAGATTTACTTACATATCTCTGAGAGCTTGCTGGCTCACGAGTCACGGCGGGTGCGAGTTTTACTGGTTATAGCAGTTGTGGAAGAGAAGCAAGGGGGAGTAGATTAGATGATGTGTTCACTAGTTACCCTAGGCAAAGCCAAAGGGTTGATAGCATTTATAAGACAGAGTGCTCTGAAAGGAGCTTAACATGGTGTAGCTGCAGATGGACTCCATTAACTACTCATCATGTTTCGGCAGTGTGTTGAGTGGAGCGCTGAACCCCCTTAGTAAAATGAATGAAAAAGTGACCAATATAGGAGTGCCTGATTACTTGATCATGACTTAATTATGTGGTGCTGTAGCATTAGTATACTCCAGTAAATAATTCAGAATAGGGCAAAGATTAGCCCAAAAAATCCCCCTTCTAGCCAGCAACAACTCACTCACAGCTTACTCTAAATATAAGAGCCCATGTTAGCTTAGCTGCAGCTTCCCATAAGGTGTTTTTGTGATCGGCTATAAGTTTAGAAGCTGACTTGCTGACCCATAACTCAGAGTGAACATGCATGTTTAGTGAAGGCTTGTTAGAGAGGAGGCACCCTCACTTAAGTATTATGTTATATTTGCAAACCAACCATGCCAGGCCTTTTGGGGGCTAGCACAAGCCATCTAAGAGTATAGAATTAGGAATTAGTGCATTTCATTTCCTTTCTTTTCCATTGTTTTCTATCCATGGTGTGAGGAAGGCGAAAACACTTAGGCTATAGAGGTTCTTTGATATGAAAGCACTGTAACCTAAGACATCCATCTAATAGACTAACACCTAACAAAGTAAAAAAAATTCAAGAGATGACAAACACCCTTTAACTGAATAGAGTGGGGTAAAAGAAAAATTGCCTGTTAAATTAATAGGCTGACATGATAATCTGTCCTCAGTCTTCTTTGAACCAGGCAGCTCCATCTAATTTCATGAGGGGAGAAGGTGGCTGTGTTACAGATGTAGAGCTTTCAACTGAGAGGGGGACATGTCAGCTAACCAGGGATATTATTGCTGTCTGGACTTCCAGGGAAATAAAACTGTTAGGAAAAAGAGCATCATTGATCATGGAGACTTTTGTCGGTGTCGGGGCAACCTTGTTCGGGCAGAGTCCACTGTGCCACACAGTGGAGCAGTGATACTCACTACCATAGCTTGAACGAATGGCGTCCTCAATTGATCATCTACCTGTGTGCTGTCCATTATTATTAGTAGTAGTATTATTATTCTTGCATCCAGAGCATTCTAAACCCAAGAGCAGCCCCGCAGCAGCTGGCCTCAGTGATGTCATCGATGATCATCACATACAGTATATAATCTACATTAACCCTCTATCTACACCCCTTTGTTAGAAATTGTCGCTTCCATCAACATAATAACCAAATGGCTCCGAAAGTCCTCATCGTCCTGACCTCTCAGGATAAGATCCCTTCTAACGGTCATCCTACGGGCTGGTACCTGGTATGTATATCTACACCCTCAAAACAAAAGACGCAAAATGACTGACCCCCAGCCCGAATTGGCTCACCCATGGGAAGTCCTCCACGACAAGACCGAGCTGGTCATCGCTTCTCCCAAGGGAGGTGAGGCACCGCTTGATCCCGCCTCCGTCAAAATGTTCGAGAACGACCCCGTTGCATCGAAGTTCCTAAACGAGCAAAAGTCCCTCTGGACAAACACAGTCAAGCTGTCTGATGTGCTACCTAAGGTGTCTGAATTTGATGCGATTTTCTACGTTGGCGGACATGGCCGTACGTTCCCTTATTTCACTTACAAAAGTTGCAGGGCTGACGAAAGTAGCAATGTTCGACCTCGTCAACGACGAGACCTCCATCGCTCTAATCGAAGCCTTCTCCGCCGCCAAGAAGCCCATCGCGGCCGTCTGCCACGGTCCGACCGTCCTGCTGAAGGCCAAGGCGCCGTCCGGTGTGCCGCTACTCTCGGCCTGCACGGTGACTGGCTTCTCCAATACCGAGGAAGACCAGGCGCAGATGTCGTCCGCGATGCCGTTTATGCTGGAGGATGAGCTGCAGAAGGTGACGGGGAACCGGTATGTCAAGGCCGACGAGCCGTGGGGGGAGAAGGTGATTGTGTCCAAGGCTGCTGGCACGGGCGCTACGGTGATTACTGGTCAGAACCCGGCTAGCGCGACGGGAGTTGGCAAGGAGATTCTCCGGGCGTTGGGTGTGGCTTGATCATTGCAGTGTGTACATAATTTGAATAATATATGATTGTTATGACATGGATTGATGCTTAATCTGTCAGGTTACATTCATATCATAAGAAATGCCGGCGGTCTCCGGAGAGAGTTACCCCTCCCTTTCTACATTAAACATGCACCTGTCGATCACTGCGGATCTGGCGAATCAGGTGTGGTTCTGGCTGGGCGTGGCTGATATATGATGCCAAGATCTAACTGATAGTTCAATGAGAAGCCGCCCTTTCCTGAAGATGCGTTATCTCTAATATTCACGACGGGATAACGAGGAAATATATCCTCAAATAGAATGGTAGTATGGTACATACAGCCAATCATTCTCGATATGCGCTTTGAAGATATTGCCAAGACGTCTGGTATGTTGCCGGGGATCCTTGTGAAGATTTGACTGGGTAGGCTGCGAGGGGTTTGGGATACGATGTCTCTCGGAGATATGATCTCGAGATATATAAATGGCTTGATCCTTCCATAGATCAGTCTTGCACTTCTTCTACAGCTCTCAGAGTATCTCGAGAAGACAACATGACCCGCCTGCTCCTCTCCGTCCTCTTGGGCATCCCCCTCGTGGCAGCCATCCCGGCACCAGTTGCTCTCCCAACTCCCCCAGGGATCCCCTCTGCCGCTACCGCAGAGTCCGAGCTGGCTGCCCTGACCGTCGCGGCCGCAGGCTCCAACGACGGCTACTCTCGCGACCTCTTCCCCCACTGGATTAGCCAAGGGGGTACGTATACCCACCTGCCTTGGAAGATTAAGCTAACAGCTCAGCGCCTGCAACACCCGCGAAGTCGTCCTCGCCCGCGACGGCACCGGCATCGTCAAGGACTCCAGCTGCTATCCCACCAGCGGATCATGGTACTCTCCCTACGACGGAGCCACCTGGACGCAGGCCAGCGACGTGGACATCGACCATGTCGTTCCCCTCGCCAATGCCTGGAGAGTAAGTCACCCCCATCCTCTACGACCATCCCTGCTAATTGCCGATAGTCCGGCGCATCTGAATGGACCACCGCGCAGCGCCAGGCGTTTGCCAACGACCTGACCAACCCGCAGCTGATGGCTGTGACGGATAACGTCAACCAGGCCAAGAGCGACGATGGACCCGAGGCGTGGAAACCTCCTCTTAGTAAGTTCTATGCCCTGTGGTGGATTATGATGATGATGATGATGATGATGCTAACGGGATAGCTTCGTATTATTGCACGTATGCGAAGATGTGGGTGAGGGTCAAGTACGTGTATGATTTGACCATTACCTCGGCGGAGAAGAGTGCGCTTGTGAGCATGTTGGATACTTGCTAGTGGATGTAACTGTCTGGGTGAGAAAGTTATCAGCTAGTTGACAGCAGAGAGATATTTGTAGATAGATTCTGTTGAATTAAATTACCACCTACTGAGTGGAGAAATCCAGTCATTCGGACCATTCCTTTATTAAACATCCTGTATAGCTGATTTAGCCGAGCTAATTAGGATTCTACTAGAGTTTCTCAAATCTCATACAGTTCTGAGATTTCCAACACAAAGGTTACGTCCACTAAATGAATTCTTAAAATCCAGCGCAGATAGCTAGGTTGTTCACTTTATTCTCACATATTATACGCTCAAAGATGACAAAAGACGAACTATTACCGTGCATTCTCACTGGTCCAACTGAGTCTTAAAATTGCGCCCCTGGCGGTCATGTACAGAGGATTATGTTCACAAAGGGTGATCTCCTCCTCGATTTCTTCAACATCAATGAGAAGGGCTTCTCCTCGTGCCTTTCTAGTCTCCTTGTCGTCAAGCCATTCAATACGATAAGAATGGCTACTGGAGCCTGCGATATCCTCGACGACGATCTCCAGGGGCCCAGCAGAATAAGGCTCAGATGTCTCTTTGGGGCCCACACTTCCAAAGATTCCGGAACCTTGAAGTATAATTGAATTGCTTCCAGGTCCAGGATTGGCTTCTTTTATGCAAGAGGCTGACTTATCGGGACGACCGGAAACAGAATTTGCACATTCTGATCTTTTAACTGATCCCATGCTCTCTCTTGGGTCGGGGTCTCGGTTTAGCTCTGGTTGGAAGGATGCGGTCTCATGGGCCGGCGGACCGGCATGCGTAATGTTGCTTCCTTCCAGTGACGTGGTAGTTAACATAGTTGTACCAGATGCAGGGAGGGTAAAAAGTGTACTTTCAATCGGGTTCGGACGAAGGAGTTTCCGCTTTGTTGAAAGTAGCGTTGTACAACTTTCTTGAAAGTTGCCCTGCAATGATTGGCAGAACCTTTGTTCTACTTCTTGAAGCTGTGGCAGGCAAGGCAAACGCCATCCAGGATAGAGCCTTCCGTGGGACCGGGGAGTATGTAGCTTGCCATATACTTTGATGAACAAGTTGCAGAGAAAGCAAGCATCTTTACTGGAACAGATAACTCGCGGGAGAGTCAGCGGCGGGTGCAATTCAAAATATGCAATGATCTGGACCTCGGAATGGATTTTTGCTTGTCTTAAGATATGCATTACCTGCCGGCAATATTGGTCTTTGGCCTGTTGCTCACTCAAGCCGAGCACGCGACAAATCTCTTTCAGAAGCTTCTGTTGTCTTCCTTTTGCACTGGCCTCGGTGACTTTAACGAGCAGATTCGGGGTGTATGTGTCGATGGAAGGAATCGTGAATGCCTCTTCAGGCAGGTGGACAGGTACCGTCCGCATGTTCCGAGCTAAAGGAACATTCTTTGCCGTGCGGTATAAGAATCGAGCAGCTTCCCGGTATCGGGAAACTTTACCAACTATGTTTATAAAACTTTCTCTGGCGGTAGGGTCCATATGATTATTTGGTATGATGTCGATAATGGGTTGAAGCTGCTTGATCTGATGTATGCGATAGATACTTTCCACAAGCTCTATTAGTCGTGCGGTGACCTGATGTTTTGACCATAAGTCAACGACTTTTCTAACCTCCTTAGCCCTGGTCAATAACAAATCTACGGCTTCCAATAGGCTTCTATCTTTTAGTTTGTCCTGGCTGATACGCGTAAGTGCCCTGGTCAGCTCCTGCAGAGTATCCTTGAGAGATCTCTTCATTTTTACGCGCCCAGTAGAGCCCAACCGCAGTCGGGAAAGGATACGAGATGAACACATCGAGACGACCATGTAGAAAACCTGGTTTTTAAGGCTTGGGGAGCAATCTGGCCACGACATTGTCAACAAGCGAACAAGCCCACCCAGATGCTACTTACCGGTAGACACCCGCGTAAGGAGTGCAAAGATCTCATCAAAGCCCTGCTGGATAGAATGAAGCACATTGTTTCCATCAGAATGATTGGCCTTATTCACTGCAAATATCACATTCAAAGAGCCCGTTGCTGAATCTTCCCCAATGCAGACTGCCGGGATATGTTCAGCACCTTCTCGATTGTGCGCAAGGAAAGCCAGAGCCCCAGCTAACTTGCGCTCCTGGTCAAGGGAGAGAACATATTGACCTGATGATATACCGTGTATAACGTTCGAAGACGGTGGGACGGGGATATTATGAAACAGTGAAGCAATGGCTATGTCTTCAGCGCACTTGATTGCAGGATTGGAGATTCGAGGCATTATTGCGAAACTTGAGGTCACAATGATTGCAAGGAGGGTTGTCTATTAACTATGGGTCATGACTGATCTCACCCTACATCCTGTCCTGGTTTGCTTTTAATAAGACTGTATTCTATGTTTCCTTTAAATGGCTATAAATTATTTAGCCCAGTCAAAATCGTGTGATAAGATCAGTAAGGAAGATCAGGTGGGGTTGGTTGACAGCTGTCCCTGTATGACAGCATCTGTTGGTTGGCCGTAGTCTTTGTTTGACAGAAGTCCCTGTATGACAAGCAGGTTCCCTTTCCTCTTGGCACAAACCATCAACCTTAGATATAGCCTACGGCACCAGGCTGCCAGCTTTGCTCACCTCCCTCACTTCAGACACATCCTTGCTCACCCCCTTTGCTCACCCCGCCTAAACTTGCTAAACTTAGTCTAGATTATTTACACTTGCTGGAGTACTGTCAGTTAACTCCCTCTACTAATTTCTTCTACTAGACTACTTCCTAGTAACTTTTATTTTCTTAATCTCATCTGAGTCATCTCTAATTCCTAGAGGAGTGCTGTCATCTTATCCTACTCCGCATGAGAGAGTCTCAGAGTTAGGATAGAGTGGGATTGGTTGGGTTCAGTGGATATTTTTATATACAAGAGGATCAAAGAAGCATCTGCCTATAAGTTAATAATAGTCTAATAGAATTACTATTAGAGATGCAGAATCACGTTGAAATTTGAGTCGAAATATGCTTATTTTCTCAAGTACAAATATGGCCTAGATAGTCAATCATGGGGAGGCTTGGACCATTATTTGATATAATCTTACATATAGATTCTTAGTTATCTTAAAACTTACTAGTATATCTTAATTTAGTAGTTACATGCCTAGTTTACTCTTAAGAGATATTTAGGAATTAACTAAGGCTATTCTTCCTAGTTAGTGACTACTCTGGCTAAGAAACTCTGATGTCGATGTTTTCACCGTTCTCGCGGCATTCAGGTCTGCAAGGCTAGGTTAGATTTGACAGAGAGCAAAATGGTGCAATACTCCTCAAGTAATGCATACCAGTCCCGAGGGGTCGCTCCAGACATTATTCGACTCGCGCTCATGATACTGGTAGCCCTTAGTTAGCTTTGGCTCTGGACGGCACCGGAAATCAATATCTGATCCTGCTAACTACAGTAATCATGAGGGTTTATATAGCTTCATTTTGGCACTTTTTCCAAACAGACCTACATCCTGCAGGGCCTTGGAGATCCAACCTAGGACTCGTGATGACGATCCACGTTTCTGGGCAATGGTGTATTGATTCGGGGACAGACTAGGACGGACAAGACCGGCGAAAGCCATGAACCACTACCCATAGAGACCACCATCATTTTGTCAGGGTAAACATGGTATCATGCCAGACAGCATCGTCCTGAGGCATAAAATAACACCTCGAACCCCCGGAAAAATGATTTCTCACCAACAGGGATCCAAAAGGTCGGCGACAAACATACAGTGGTTATGCAGGGTTTAAAAAAGTATTAGTAAACCGGGCGTTCGGGCCTAGGGTAACCCAAATCGGTGGAATGGTCAGAATACTTTGCGTAGGGGTCCTCCCAGGGAGCGGTGTAATCGTCAATATGGATCCAAAGGTTTTTGACGAACATCTGACAGTCATTGAGGATTAACTGGTAGGGCTCAGCCTTTCTCACCAGGTCACGCCCTACAAAAGGGAAAGGTATTAGATCGGAAACTCCACGAGTGGGGTTGTGGAAAAGATGAGGTAGGACACACCTAGCCAGTCTATATTCTCCTCTGACTGTGTAGTCTTTCCAACCCGCCCTATATAGGTGGGGTGGAATTGCCGTCTGTCATACCGGAGCTGCCTCTGTCCATTCTCATCAAGTTTTCCGACAATGGCGAAGTAATTCCAGGTTAGTGGATCATTGTCATCTCCTTGTCCCGGTTCTTTCTGCACGGCACCCATTTAGGTCTGAAGCGTATGTAGACCACTATGGTGAGAGCCTACCTCAACTCGCAAAGCCCAGTGTGCAACCAGAGGTAACTCCATTAATCCTTGCGGCGCCTGAGGAGCGCCAGTAAACCCAGCGTAATCAGATTCTAATATGTACGAGGAAGTCTCGAATTTCCGTAGCGGGCGGGAAACCTGCTGTACATTGAACAACTTGGACATACTTTCGAAGATGTCTATGACGAGGGTGTAGTTAAGATGGTGGTTGTGAGAGTCAAAAGGATTGATTCAGAAACTGAGGGGCCTTGTATTTAAGCTGCGACCGCCATCGACCCGCTTCCTCCTCCTGGTGTAAAGGTTAAGAGATATAATTCGCTCCAAGACCGCTGGGATGAGGGCGAAAGGCTGGAGACTCAGCTCACCAGCAAATGGCCTGTAAGCATCTATCTGTCGTGTCATCTGCCCTTGCGGGAACGGGAACTGGGACCTTATTGGCCGCCTTGTATTACCTGGCTTTCACAGTGCGTTCTTAGGGACATACCACACAACCTCTTGGCCGCTATGTGAGCCAACGCCTGAAGTCCGCAACCGATATAATCCTTGTATCATAGCTGTCCGACTACATGCACCCCGAAGGATAGTCCAATAGTAGTGTTCTTGGCGGCAATGATTGGTGACTATGTGCCAAAGAGTGGCAGTGCTCCGACGGGGGGGGAAAGCGCATGACAAGGTACATTGTTTGTTAGCATGATTGCAGCAGCTTCAATCATAAGTCAAGTCTGGTGAACATAGCCCGAGGATCAGGTGAAGAAGCACCACGTCCAGCGAGGGAACCCAAGGTTCTTCCTGTTGTACTTTCATGTTCTCTCCGATCCGACTCTGCTCAACAGAGCGAATTGAGGCTCAGCTTTGCCCACCTCCTGGATCTTATATGACCCCCAGGAACATTGAAACATCGAGAATTCATTACCCTTCCCGACTCGATGGACCCCCTCTACGATTTCATTAACAGTCAATACCAAGTTTGGGATCCATGCATGTTTTTAGACACAGCCGCAATTGATGTGACCGAGATTTGGACGGATCCGACCAGCCAGAGCAGACTTACCAGACAGAGACGAGTCGCTACCTCCGATGTAGACGAATGGCTCAAACAGACTTCAGCGACCATCGGCGGCGCCAAATCCTCGGTCGTACTACGGCTCGTGTGGGTCAAGTTTCAACACATGGAAAGGATCAAACATATCTCGTCCGCGGTCCTGGACAGACTCTTGAGCCATTTCGGTATCGAGGTAGCGCACAGGTGGAACTGGACCTGCTTCGCCGGGTCGACACGCTTCGACGGTCCGGGGCCTGAGAGCGGCCCGCTGTTCAGCTACTCGGTGTGCAATCACCCCAAGGTTGCAGCCGCGTGGTCGCACAGCCCCGCCACTGGTATAACTCAGGGGATATACTTTGCGGGAGCAAGTCAAGTTCCCGAGCTGCAGGATCTTTTGCTCTCCTTGTCAGCGATTGCAAGCCACCCAATGCTCCCTGCGCTAGTGTTTGGTATTAGCCTGAGCGGTCTGATCGAACAAGAGCACAAGAGAATCAAAGAGAATGTGAGAGCGGTGGAGGTGCGAACACGATTCCATTCATGGGCGAGCAGGAATGAAAATCCGGCGGAAGGGGACTATATCAGTCTTTCGTCTGCGACGACGGGAGCGAAAACAAAGCTCGCAAACCTGCACCGGAGAACAATCATACTCCATGAGCTATGTGATTTTGTTCGCGAGAACTTACATCCTCATTCCAAGGAAGAGTCACTCGTCAGGAGCCCTCTTGTTGAATCAATAGTGGAGTACACGCGAGTACTCCGGAGACGAACAGTGTTGCAGGCGGCAGACGTCCAGTTCTTCCAGCACCGCGCCGACGCCCAAGTAGCAGCGGTAAGCAAAGAGACATCTAACCTTGTTCTTGCATTCCACTTCTCTAATATGCTTCTTTAAACAGCCCGCCGTTATGATAGCACAAGACAAAGCTGCAGTCGACACAAATATTACGAGTGCAATGCAACAAGATTCATCGTCACTCAAGACTCTCTCGCTAGTCACGATGTTCTTCTTGCCAGACACCTTTCTTGCCACTTTGTTTTCTGTCCCTCTTCTGAACTGGAAACCTGAGGAAGCTATGGAGGGAAAGTTTTGGATATACTGGGCGTTTGCCATCCCACTTAGGCTGATAACGTTTGGAACTTGGTGGGTATGGACGTCCATCCTAGAAAGGAGAGTAAGGATACCGGCGCAGGGAAACCAGGAGAAATGTAAGGAGGTATAAGGACTATCGAGATCTGCGAGTTATGCTAGATCCCGACTTTCAGAAAGCATCGGCAACTTATAGTCGGTTCAAAGAGCAACAGGATCAAATTTGAATTGGAGATGAAAATCTGGCAAAATACATGTAAGCTGGCCAGAGGCTGACTGCTCTGGCCTGCTTACATCTATGCTGGGTTTGGGCCATAGAAATCTCGGGACCTGAACCCAGCAGGTTAGGTTGGTCGAATAGGGCGAACCCAGACCGACCTACGGCGGACTGAATGTACAAACCGGCCAAAATAAATTTTTACCATTGATACCTCCAGCCACGCCGCTTCCCGCGCGGCCATGCACCACCTAGTTAGTAATCACATGGAGTAGCTGGCAGGAATTACCTAAGGCAGTGAGTGAAGTAGGAGGCAGATATTCAACTAAGAAGCTTTAATTTCAACTAATTGCAAGGTAGTCCAGTCGGTAAAGCCTGCGCAAGATATCTAGGTACCTGGTGGATGATTAAATAACAATTGCTGGCATGCCTAGGCAATACACACCCATGATGACCTAATATTCTGATATAATACCTCTCAAAGGGGCATAGATATCTATATATTTTTATATAGTAAGCCATGCCCCTGAGGGGGGTTCTCAGCGCGGTGGATCTAGGTTCAGAATAGAAAAAGATTTTTTCTAAATAAGACTAGCTGGATTTGAACTCAAGGCCTCTAGATTTTAACATTTTATATAGAGGTACCTTGCTGGCAATGAATAACCCCTAGATCCATCACTAAGGCATGGTAGGGCGATGTAGGGGCGACACTAGGTAATATAACTATTAAAAAATAAAAGAATTAGGATGTGGAGGATGCTTATGAGGCAGCTATTCATCTTTAGTAATATATATTATTCTAACCCATTTAGCCATACAAATATAACCATGATGAAACTAAGTTAATCTATACCCTATAAACTATAGAGAATAGACCCTTATAGAATAAGTTCCTTACTTAGCATGTTCTATGTAGCAATTAGTACATATATTATTATATAAAGGAAATATATACAGGTGGGCACTAGTATGATATTAATAGGTATATAGATGGTTAGAGGTAATATTATTCCATATAGCTAAAATGCTTTATAGATAGGGGGTATGATGGCACTGCTCATATTCCAATGGTATGGTAGTATTTCGATAGAAAACTAAGCATAGAGAAGAGGGGGAAGAAGTATGTACATAGTGGGGAGATATGTAAACAGAGGGTGGAATAGTGCAAATAATCCAAATAGCCCTGGAGAGGTAAGTGGTCAAGATGGGCAGAAAGCTCTGTGTAAGGAGGTCCGCGGGGAATATGATGATGGATTATCACATTACCCCCCCTTTAGGTTCTGGATGCCCTCATCCGGGGTTTATCATCATCAGGGTGATCATTAAGGAATATATTATCTTTGGCTGCTTATAGCCATTCTGGTAGGCACATCAGCGGGCCTGGCATGGCTGGATATTGGGCGTGGAAGTCATGGAGTAATATTAGGGAGTTCCTAAAATTTCAGGCTGGATACCAGGTAAGATTAACATCATGACTAAGCCATCTTACCCAGTACTGGAGCTTGTGATAGTGGAGTTAAGACACTAGTATCTTATTAACCTCCCATTCATCTTCACTATTAACTTCTAGTGGGGGAGCTAGGTCCTGGAGCTAGCCAGGCAGAGGAGGTATAGATAGGGCTTTGTGAAGCTTCTCAGGCGCAAAGACAGGGTGGACTTTTATAGAATCTAGGAGATCTAGTTAGAAGGTGTTCCCCTCTTGCTTTATAATTTAGTATGGTCTAGCAAGCTGGTCAGTGAGCTTCTAACTGGGATGGTCAAGCTTCTAATCTAATATGGTAATAAAGACATAATCATTAATATTAAAGTTAACAGTATAGTAATGCTTATCAGCCTATTACTTCTATTAATGTTAAGTGGCTTCCATACCTCTATAAGTATATGACCAGATCTCCTCTATGTATCTAGCCATCTGCTGTGCTTGCTTGCGATTAATATTAAGGTCTGATAGCCTAGTAGCTGCTAACTAGTTAAAGGATGTGCGTGGTTCAAAGCCTCTCTTAATAAAGAAGGGTGATATCCTAGTAGATTTACTTAGAAGCACTACAGTAGTGAAATTTAGTATAGACAGCTACTAATCCCAGTCATCCTAGTAATAATTAATAAACAGCCATAATCACTATGCAATCCACTAGTTCATGACTTCTGTTTAACTATTAGTCTGTAGATAATGTCCTAATAATAGCTTGAGGCAGATCTGCAAGACCTTACATAGTTCATCCCAGAAATCTAAGATGAACTGACCTCCCCTATCTAAGATGATTATTTCTAGTAAGCTAGTCCATGGGTAAATATAAGTAATAAAGAGACGCGCCATGTTATGAGCAGTAGTTATCTTATAATAGGGGATGGCAAAGGCTCTCTTCCCTAGTTAGTCCACTATAATAAACACAGTGTTAAAACCTATCTTAGAGCATAGGAACAAATAGAAATCCATAGCAATGTATTGCTAAGGTTAGTTAGGGATTGGAAGGGGCTGTAGTAGACCTAGCAGAGGGTCTCTACACATCTTTATTTAATGGTAGATAAGGTAATTATCTACATAGTGGTCTATATCCCATCTTTAGGAAGTCTAATAGTAGTAAGTGTGGATAAGTCTCTTCATCTTAGCCTTGCCTGGGTGTGTGGAAGACAGTGGGCGGTGGATTTTATCTAGTAGGTGAGTGCATAGGTCACCTTTATTAGGCACTACTAGGCATCCTTAGAAGAGTAGAAGTCTATCTTAGAGTTCCTATTAGTTACTACCTGCCCATGCAAGCTCTTACTTAGGCTGAAGGCTGTCATGTAGTTAATTTGCTTTAGATACCTAATCTACTATTGATATCAGGCTAGGGGTAACAGCTGCTAAGATTTAGGGGTTAAGGTGGTCTAGCTTAAATATTAACTAAATTTAGTAATTATTAGTCCCTTCTAGGTCTTGTGGCCTGGAGAGTGCATTAGCTAGTATATTAAGCTTCCCCAGCTGGAAAGTAATAAGGAAGTAGAAGCTGGATAGGAACTTATTCTATTAGGCCTGTCAGGGGTTTAGTTGCTGTTTCTATATGAAATATTATAATGCTTAGTGGTCTATAAATATCTTAAATAGTTTAGCTCTTTATAGGCCCTGCAGCTCAGCTTACCATTCTTCTAAAGCATGTATAATAGCTAATAATTCTTAGTTATAGATGCTGTAGTTATGCTCTACTAGATTTATGATTTTAGAATAGTAGGTAATAGGATGCCACTCTTCCCCCCACTACTAAGAGAGTATGCTGGTGACTATGCTATTAGAGGTATCTATCTCCAGCTTTATAGGTAAGGATAGGTTATAATAGGTGAGAAGCAGAGCTTCTATAAGGGTAACCTTTAAATAGTAAAACATCTTCTTATAGTTATTATTCTATGTAAAGGGAACATCCTTCCTTATTAATATAACTAGGGGTTTAGTAACACAACTATACTCCCATATGAACCTCTGATAGAAGTTATAGAAACCTAGAAATAACTAGACCCCCTCACAGTAGTAGGAGTCTTCCACTTCTGTACTATAATGACCTTTTCTGGGTCAACCTAGATGCTGTCTATTAAGATGATAAAGCTAAGATACTATGTCTTTATTACATAGAATTTATATTTCTTTATTAAGGCTTATAGGCCATGCTCCTGTAAGCACTGTAGAATAGTATAGATGTGGAGCTGGTGGTCTAACTTATTATTAGAATAGATTAGTAGGTTATCAATGAATGCAGTCAGATATTAATCTAGGTAATCTATAAAAATGCTATTCATAAAGTGCTGGAATGTAGCTAGTCTATTAGTAAGTCTAAAGGGTATTACCTTATATTTGAAGCTGCTATATTATAAGTGGAATGTGGTGAGGTCCTCTAAGACCAGGTCTATGTGAATCTGATGAAAACCCTAGTGGATGTCTAGCTTGGTGAAGATCTTTACTTTAGAGATATACTCTAAAATCTTATTAATTAAGGGGAGAGGGTAATGGTCCTTACACATTATAGTATTTAGTTTATAGTAGTTAATATAAAAATATAGTCCTCTACCTAGCTTTTCTATCATAAGAATGGGAGAAGCAAAGGGAGCATTACTAGGTATAATAAATCCCTTATAGAGGTTGTCTAGTATGTATTCCCTTACTGCTTCTAATTCTTCTATGTTTATCTTATATAGGGGCCTATAGCTGACTGTATTCTCCTATTCTAGTTCAACTTTATAGTCAAATTCCCCGTGGTGGGGAGGTAAAGTATCAGAATTATATTTAGAGAAAACATTAACTAGGTCCTAATAAGGTTCTGGTAGGACTTACTTAATCTCATCTTCAGTAATCACTGGACTATAGTTGGTTGACTAAGATATTAAAGACTAAGCTGTAATGGTCAGCTGCTGAGGGAGGGAAAGAGGTTATTTACCCTATTTCTTATTAATTAGTTTATTAAGCTCATGGAGGGAAGATAAGAAGATAGTAGCATCTTTCTTATGCGCATATTAGTGGAAGGCTACTGCGCCTATTATAGTAATATTAATAACAGTCTTGCTTGGTGGGTGGGTAGGTTATAATATTAGTTCTATGCCTCTTCCTTATAGGGCTTATTCTATCTTAAGGGTGTAATGCTACTGATCAATTTCCTTTATTCTTATAGGTTAGTATTATCTGATCTCATAGAAAGGTGAAGTAGTGGTTATTAGTGTTGCTAGGTTAGGCTTCTTAGGGGAATAGGGCTTGGGCGCCTCCTTAGAAGCTGTGGAAGAAAGCACTAGGGACTGAATATATAAGTATTCAGAGGTATCTAGGGACCCTTAGATTGTTCTGGAAAAGGGGTGCCATAACCTTATGCTATAGCCCTATGGTTCTCCTATTAAGCTATGCATATTTAAAGGCTTGGTTACTGCCCTGGGAAGAACCACAGGGCTAGGGGTGGTTAGGGAGAGAAGAGAAGATAGAGCTGAGGGAGGGAAGATATCCCTTTTATACCTTGCCTATCACCTAGCGCAGTGTACCACGTCATGTTAGTGATCTTAGTTAATAGGTTGCCTAATTAGGAAGTTATGAGGGACCTCCCAGTTCATCTATATAGCTATCTTATCTTAGTAGGTGGGTGGCAAAGACTAGATTAACTATTTCCCTATATAATCCACTAGTATATAGTATTCTGTGAGCTACATCCTTCCTAGTATGATATTATGGTGTCCTAGGTCTAGTATAAGAAATAGCATCTGTCTTATAATATGATTATCTATGGCTATAGTTAATATAATAATATGGGTGAGGGGAATGGACTGCCTTCTATTAAACTCTATAACTATATACTCCCTTTCTAGGGGCATAGTAGGTATTCTAAAACATTAAGATATCTAGATAGCTAAGGAAGTGGTTATAT